CAATGAACTTATATTATAATGAAATATAAATATTTAAAATAGTTTATATACAAAATTATTCTAATAGATTATTATTAGCAATACCATTAATATTCATTTTAATCCTAATATCTATTTTCCCAATTGATATTCACAAGAATGAACAATTATTTAATCTCTATAAAATACAATTAATAATGCTTTACTCTGTAAATTTATTATCCAATTCAATCCAATTACCATTCTTCAATCCAATTTCATTATATTATCCTCCACCACTATATTTTCAATGATTAATCTTACATTGTTTTATAAAAGTATCCATCAGTTTCTTTATATTAAATTCTCCATCTTCCTTATTTTATTCCATCCTTGTATTCTCCAACAAGTATGATATAATAATATCTATTATATTAATAATGATATAGATACCCACTACAGTTTTCATGTATCTCAATCCATTTTCCTTATTTCTATCCATCATTATCATAACATCCTCCACCTCTAAATTAAAACATACAATATAATCTTACATTTCTTCAGCATTGAACTGATTATTAGCTTAAGTTATCCACTTACCATATTTTAATCCATTCTTATACTGTCCAATATATACAATTTAACACCCACTTTGATATTTATAAACTCCTCAATTACTCCTAGTAATTCTCAAATAGATCAATCCAATATCCATTTTTCATTCCATTTTCATCATATAATCCTCCTCCACTTCAATTGATCAAAATTATTACATAATCATATCCATGTTTAATTGAAACGTCTACCATTATCCATATCTCTAATTATCTAAGTACTTTCCAACATGTACAACTTGACAAAAACTTATATAATAACATTTTCCAAATACTAATCAAAATTATCATGTAAATCAACCCATAATCCCTATTTCATACCTAAACTATTATATTAACCTTCTCCACTATTTGATTAAATACAATATTACATCATCTTTTTCTCAAAAATAGTTTTCCACTTTGAAATCCTAATTCCCCTCTCATATTCTCCAACATAAATAACCTAACAATAACTATAATGAGATCTATTTATATTAACCTATTGTAATTCTCATTCAATTCCATCCATTTTCCTTATTTCTCACCTTATTCATTATATTGTCCTCCTCCACTTAGTTATAAGATTTAATATAATACGTAATACTATTTCTAAATATGATGTCCCACATTCCAACTTTATTACCATTTATATATTCTCCAACCTTTGAGTCACTTTATTTTTATTCAATATACTTACTTTTAATCTAGTTCTATCCACATTCCTTTCTTAATTCCATTTTCATCATAAACACCTCCTCCACTTTATTTAATCAAATTAATATTATTACATCAAATTATTATTTTATATAACATTCCATCTTCCAACTTTTTTATCATTTTTATATTATCCAGCCTCTATACTTTAACCTGATTCCAAATTATAAAATGACATAGTTATCCATTTTCCATTCTTATTACCATTTTCATCGTAATATCCTATTCCATATAACTTTTTTTAACTATTTATATTCCAAATTCCAATTTTTCTTCCATTTAGATATTCTCCGTAATAAATCACTTATAAAGTACTATATTTTATATAGCTAATTTACTTATTAAAATTTTCATGTAAATCTATCCATTTACCATGCTTCAATTCATTTTCATTATAAAGACCTCCTCCACTTTTTTAAATAAATATAGCTTACATCTTTTAAACCATATAAAAAGTACTCCAAATTCCTCTTTTACAACCATTTTAATATTCTCCTTTATAGGTTACTTGACATTTACTATTTATTTTAATAAAGTCTACTCCCAATAATTTTCAAATAATTCTATCCAAATACCCTATTTCTTCCCTTTATCATCATAATATCCACCTATATTTAATCCTTCTCCTCTCCAATATGCCCTCCATCTACCTATTCTCTGATTTTCAATTCCAAATTATCCATGCCATGTTAGATATTTTAATTATTCTAAATTTCTAATTATACTACTAGAAGTATAACATTATTTTTCTCTGGGTTATATATTGTAAAATAATAAAAATACATTTTTTGAATTTACCCATCCTTAATATATTGAATACATCCATTAATAGAAAAATTTAAAATATATTAGCTTTCTCTAAATTTCCATGGAATTTGGGTTGTATTGATTTATAGGGCTGTTTAAAATTTATTATTAGTTGTCATGATCAGATTAATTATTAATTAATGATTATTATTTATAGGCAATCTAAGGTGGAAATATAAGAATAATAATACAAATTTTGAGTTAAATACATTAAATAATACTACAAATTGTATAAATCAAAATTATAGAAGTAAATAAATAGAAATTATTTACATAAGAATTTCACTTAAAGATTTTTGGGAATATATGTTTACACAAATATTATAGAATTTATCCATTTGATATATGTGATAAGAGATATAAAATTGAGATTGAATAATTATATTTTTAATTAACATAATCCATATTGCACAAACTTTCATTGTTTCAAAATCCAATTTTGTATGAATTTTATGAAAAAAAATAATAATGAAATTTGTATATACATTCATTCTCTACATAGCTGTAGTGAAATGTAGTAATTCTTTTACATTTCAGTTAAATTCGGGAGATTTAAGTAGAACAACATTGGAATTTTCAGCTAATCACCCAGTTTATCAATTGAGCCTTAGATGCGATGTAATTATTAATTTTTTATTTAAAGAGTTTTACTACTGATTTATGGATTGCATATAATTATGCTAATTTAACTATCACTCCTGAACAAAGATAACAATATAAATGTTCTGATAAAAACTTTACGATTACTTTATCAAATGACTTTACAGATGAATATGCTACTATATTCGTATATAATTAAAATAAGTCTGTGAAAATTCAAAGTTTTGATTTCTTAACTGATTCATAAACTTCTTATAAGACTGCTTTGACAGCTAATAAAGCCACTACTTAAGGACTTTACTACGTTAAGAATGATTTCAGTATGTAAGTATCTTATCCTTCAACTATGTATGTTGAAATTTTAAAATGCCCTACATCAGAATCAAAAATTGAAGTTATGCAATTTAATGAATTTGGTTAATATAGAAACTTAGATGGAAATTTCAACAATAAATTCTTTTATGATGTATTTAATGCCTCCAATGGAAGCACCTATTATAGATTATAATAATCACATTATGATAGTCCTGATGTTTTTATTAAAGTAAATATTTATTATATAAATTTAGTATCAAAGAGCTTAATAATAATAAATAAAGGATATAAAATCATATATTAACTATTCCTATTTTCGACCATCTGTGTAAGTAAAAGGGGATAAAATATTTATCTCATTTCCAGATTTTAAAGTTAAAAATTACGAACAAGTAGAACTTCGTGTAACTGTTGGTTGGGATGGCTCAGAAACTAAGGAAATAATTTGTGCATATGGAGATCCTGATATTTGGAGGCAATATAATTCCTATTATATAAACAAATACAATTTAACATATAATATATATGGAAATAATTAGTTGGTTGCTGATTTCCCAAGTTATATATAAGGAAGCTACAATATTAGAACAACTGCTATTGTAAATTTTGGAACAATTAAATAAACTATTCCAATGCAAACTGTTTAAATTTATAGAAATTTATACGCACCATCTGGATCATTATTGGTTCATATTTTGGCTCCAATAATTATTTCTGTTTTAGCTTTATTTGGATTAATTGTAGGAGGTTGTAAATATAGAAAAAAGAAGGCTCTTTACTTATAGGATCAATAATTGGGATAATTGCAATAACAACATTAAATACAGAATCCTTATATTGGTATCCAATGAAGGCATATATGAGAAATTTATATAAAATCTTTTTATTAACTCTACAATATATATATATTTCTTAATAAAATATATAATTCATTTCTTTTATAAAATATTTTCCAACTTTTAAATTTCATTTTTAATTTCTTTGTACAGTTTATATTCTTTTTCAACAGGAGCAATATCTTTATGAAATCTAATTCTTCTATTGTGAGTAGTTGTAAATTCATTTTAAAAATTATTTAATTTATCTCTCAACTCTGCTCTTGTTTTCTTTAAATCTTCTATTCTCTTTTAGATTTCTCCTTAAGTATTATTTGTTGATTATTTATATGTTGGAATTTAAATTCCTGGATTTTGAATAACTTTATCAATTTGTTATTTTAACTTTTTATAGTAAATGTATAAGGGTCTCATTGGTTCTTTTTCATTTCGTAATGGAAATCGATTGAAAATGGATTAAAAATTAGCATCATAAAACTTAAGTTCATTTTTTACTCTTTTTTTTTCATTTTAAAGTTAATCCATAGACATCATTTCTAAATCTCTCTTTGTTAATTTAGCTAAATCTATATTTAATCTAAAATATATTTAGCATTATACTTATTTAATGATTCTTATAGTTTTTATGGACCAATGATATTTACCCATTATTCAATTGTTGGAGGATTAGATAACTTTTATTAAGGTTATTCAAATTTTGGTTAATCAGATTGCATAGATGATATAGATGTTGAAGATGTGTTATTTGAATTCTTTTAGTAATTATCATACACTGGATTTGGTTTCTTAAAATTATACACGGCCCTTGGATTAAATAGTTTAGCAACTGATTCTGTTAACAATTCATTTAGAATATCAATTTCCATTTTTTTAATTATTATTTTTATATAATCATTAGATAAATTAGATTGAATAATATTATATATACATTCATAAATAATTATTTACTAATAATAATAACATTCTTTTAATACATTTATTTAAATAATTCAAAATTATTGATTATTTTATTATCTTAAAAACCTTTTAGTAATCAATTATAAGATTTATTAATATATAATGATATTTATTTAGAGAAAGATGAAAATAAAGAGTGAATTGATGAAGATTATGATAATAATATAAATAAAATTATTAATGAAATATTATTAATTTTATTAATTATAAAATGAATGTATACTGTTAAATGGCAGGGTATCATTAAGGTATTATATGTAAATAAAGGTGAAGATGAGCCTTTAGAATTATTATGTATGAATCCAGAATGCATTTCTATGAACAAAGTTTTGAATTGTGTTTCATGTATTGAAGAAAATCATATCGGTCATCAAGTGATTCATTATAAAAAGTTCATTAATTTACTGCAGAAATAAGGGAATAGTTTATTAAATGAGATTGTAATAAGTATTATATATTTGTATAGGATTTAAGATTCTAGGAATCTACAGTGTAAAATGATTTAGTGTGTAAATTGAAAAACTTAATCAAACAATTAACAGAATTATCAGATATTGTAAATGATGCCATTTTGAAATAGAAGGATATGTTAGAAAGGAAATTATAATATTATGAATGTATGTATGTGAGTTGAGTTTGTATTAGAGTTTTCTTGTGTATTACCTACTTAAGATATTTTTAATAGAGCTATCAAATAACATGATTAAAATTTGATATAAAAACTAATGAGTTAATTTTTTTAGAAGATTGAATACAATACAAAAAGACAAGAGTTTTTAGTAAGAAATAATTATCTAATGGATGCTGCAGAAGAAACTGAAGGAGAAAATCTCTTATTTAGAAAACTAAAAGATTTAATAAATGTATTTAAGAGTGATGTAGAAATGAATTATTAAACACAAGTTTCATAATAAAGTAATAGTCACTTATAAAAAAAACTATCTTAAACTAATAATGATTTTAAGCGATCTCATCAACAATTACCAAGCTATAAAAAGATCGCTAATATAGAAAAATCTCCAGGATCTCCAGATGATAGAATTTCAGTTAGTCAATCTTTAAGTCAATTTTATTATAAACCTAGTACATTGAAAAAAAGAATAGGATAATAAATGTCTTTGGTAGAGGTTTCAAATACTTTTAGCACAACATATTCATTTCATTCAGAATGTTTTGGATAGGGTTTGTAAATAACATCTAAATAAGTGAAATTGATTTTAGATAGCGATAAAAATATTGCATTAATTAAACCATCAATATATGGAAGTGGATTAGCAAGAGAATAAAGAGTTACATTAATAATAAAAGTTTGCAGAAATTCAAATTAAAGATATCCTATGGCAGTAGGAATTTGTGATCAATAAAAATTATAGGAAAGTAATTTCATTTTCTAAGGGTCTGCTGAGCATATGCCAGGATCAAATAATAAGGATCATGGTTGTTATCTACTTAATTCAAATGGATATATTAGATCAATGACAGGATCAGATATGATCAGAAGTTCACCTAATTTAAGATTTTATAGTAACTCTACTTTAGAATTAACATTTAAACCATTTCATAAATAATTAATAATTAACAGAGATTAATAAGTTTAGACTACTATTCCTTTAGAATTTTATAAAGATTAGAAACTATTCTTTTGTGTTAGATTAGCAGATTTACATGATTGTATTGAAATATAATGAATAATATTAATATATAATAAAGTATTAAATAAGAAATAATGAATAAATTATAAAATTAATGAATTATGTAAAATTTTAGGATGTTATAGATGATGGAATTGAACCTGATAATCATTCATCAAAGATAGATTTACAAGAACTTTAATTAATAATTGATTTAACTTAATTAGAAGGATTTAACATATTTCAATCTATATATGCCATACATTTTAAAGGATTTAGTAGAATTTAAGATGCTGCAATATATCTATAACATGATGAAACACATAGATATGTTTAATAGAGTAATAATTAATGTGGAGTTTGCAATAAATCTTAGTAGTTTCATGAGAAGATTGATGAAAATAGTGAGAAATTAGTTGCAAAAACAAACAGAATAATAGATATAATATAAGAAAATTAATAATGCTGTGTTTGTTATTTGATATATTTGGATAAAGATTTAGTTCATCTAAATTCAGAAAAACACTTGATTTGCTTAAATTGCTTTTACAATTATTTAAGACAATCAATAGATGATAGGAAAATAAATAATATTAGATGTCCTCATTGTGATATTCCAATTAGAGATATTGATGTATTGGAACATTCATAAGAACTTTATACAAAATATATAAAGTGTCATTAAAACTTGGAAATTGCTATGAATCCTAATAAAGCATGGTGTCCAACTATAAATTGCAATAGTGTTATAGAATTCAAATAATAATCAACCATTTCAACTTGTGCTTATTGTAAAGTAGAAGTTTGTAAATTATGTAAACAAAGATCACATCCACTACAAACTTGTGAAGAAAACTTATAATAAGTTTTAAATGAATGGTAAGAAAATAGAGATACACAATAGTGTCCAAGATGTAAAATAATTGTTGAGAAGATTAATGGTTGTAATCATATGACTTGTTAATTTTGTTAACATGAATGGTGTTGGATTTGTGGAAGCGATTATACATCAATTCATTATGCAATTTTCAATCCTTTTGGTTGTCCTGCCTTGATGCCAGGTTGGATTCGATAAAAAGATTGGTCTTATGTTAAGTTAATTATATGGAGATTTATTTGCTTTATACTCTTAATTATATTCACTCCTATGTTTGTATTAGTAATTGCTCCTTTGTTTTGTATAGCCAAACTAAAATAAACAAGTTTTTACAGAGATAAAAATTGTTGGATATAGGCATGCTTGTTGATTCTCGCTTTGTTAATAGGTGTTGCACTTATACCCATAGCTGTTGTTGTCTTTGCTGTTGGTATTATATCTTACTATATTTAGCTTTGGTGCCTTCCATTATAGGAATAATAGTATTTTATTATGATGAAAGAAAAAGACTAGAATTTAGACATCAAACTGCCTTATCCAGACATTTCCAATAAAATGCTTGATTATAATTTATTATTATAATGATTAACAATTATGATATTTCCTGTATCATAGAATCAATCAAAAAAAGAGGAGGTCTCTTTTAAGGTTCCATCATTACAGCTACAAACATAAATGCATTAAATTACTACAATATTACATCTGTTCTTTCTATCTATTCTGAATTTAGTAATCAATCATTTATTACTAGAAATTCAAAATGCATCAGAAATCAATAATCTCATATTCGATTGTCATGACACTCCTCACTTTGATATGACAACACTTTTTGAATAAGCTCATAATTACTTAGAATCATCCAGATAATATACTAATTTTTTAGTCCATTGTCATGAAGGCATATCAAGATCTACAACAATTGTTGTATCCTATATGATGAAAAAAAGAAATCTTAATATAGAATAAGCCTTTATATATGTTATATACTAGAGACCCATTGTCTCTCTATATCAAGGCTTTATCAAATAACTTTTTTTAACTGAGCAAAATATTTATGGTAGAATTACTTCACTTCTAAATGAATCAATTACTCCTTATTTTCATTACAACAATAAATCCAACCAATATCACCTTTTAATATTACTAAAAAACTAAGAACATCCTTATAAATCTTAGAAAATAATTCTGATTCAAAAAAGCAACCCTTTAATTCTCCCATTAGATCTATCCCTACTAGTTTCCCAATCATCATGTAATCTCCACCTTAATAAACATAATAAATCAATAACCAATATCCATAATTTACTACTCCTTAAATATCGAAAAATTCAAATGGAAAGACTTTTACTTACCAACAACCTATTTTCATTCCATTTACTGTTCCAATATCCAAAGAAATTATTTCAGCACTTAAAACCAATAGTGAGTAATAAAAGGTAAAATGATAATATTTTTATTTTCAAATTGATAATAAAAATACTTAAACTATTATTTGATCTTCAAAACTACCAAATAAGATGAATACATTGCAATGAAATTTCCACTTAGCTGGTACAGTATTTATTAAATAATTGCATAAATTAGTTACTTCAAATTTTTATATTTTTACTAAAAATTTAGCCATTTGTTCAATATTTATGTATAAATTTATAGTTAAATATTAAACCAGCAGAAATCTATAAATTTACGAAAATTTTTATTTTTTCTGATGATTTCTGGGAAAATTTATTCTTATTTTGAAAAATTATTGAAATTCATTATTTAATATTTATTTTAATTAATTAAATCTTGAAAAATTAATATTAATTAGTAGAAGCTTTCTTTAATTTATATTTGATTTTTGATTTTGATATTGAATGTAAAATAATGTATCATTCACCTCCTGCAGATTTAGTTCCTGGAGCAATGAATTGTTAGATTTCATCATAAAGAACTAAAACGAGTGATGCACCTATTCCTCTAAAGAAATTTGATAGTGCTCCTTTGAAAAAGGCTTTTGCGCCTTCATTCTTAGCAATCTTAATTGCACAATCGAGTGTATTTTTATAAAGAATATCAGCTCTTCCTAATTAATAGATAATGATAAAGAAATACCTGATTACATCATCATTCTTCTTCTAATTGTATCTAAAGGATATGAAATGACTCCTGCTGTANAAATAATTGTTGAGAAGATTAATGGTTGTAATCATATGACTTGTTAATTTTGTTAACATGAATGGTGTTGGATTTGTGGAAGCGATTATACATCAATTCATTATGCAATTTTCAATCCTTTTGGTTGTCCTGCCTTGATGCCAGGTTGGATTCGATAAAAAGATTGGTCTTATGTTAAGTTAATTATATGGAGATTTATTTGCTTTATACTCTTAATTATATTCACTCCTATGTTTGTATTAGTAATTGCTCCTTTGTTTTGTATAGCCAAACTAAAATAAACAAGTTTTTACAGAGATAAAAATTGTTGGATATAGGCATGCTTGTTGATTCTCGCTTTGTTAATAGGTGTTGCACTTATACCCATAGCTGTTGTTGTCTTTGCTGTTGGTATTATATCTTACTATATTTAGCTTTGGTGCCTTCCATTATAGGAATAATAGTATTTTATTATGATGAAAGAAAAAGACTAGAATTTAGACATCAAACTGCCTTATCCAGACATTTCCAATAAAATGCTTGATTATAATTTATTATTATAATGATTAACAATTATGATATTTCCTGTATCATAGAATCAATCAAAAAAAGAGGAGGTCTCTTTTAAGGTTCCATCATTACAGCTACAAACATAAATGCATTAAATTACTACAATATTACATCTGTTCTTTCTATCTATTCTGAATTTAGTAATCAATCATTTATTACTAGAAATTCAAAATGCATCAGAAATCAATAATCTCATATTCGATTGTCATGACACTCCTCACTTTGATATGACAACACTTTTTGAATAAGCTCATAATTACTTAGAATCATCCAGATAATATACTAATTTTTTAGTCCATTGTCATGAAGGCATATCAAGATCTACAACAATTGTTGTATCCTATATGATGAAAAAAAGAAATCTTAATATAGAATAAGCCTTTATATATGTTATATACTAGAGACCCATTGTCTCTCTATATCAAGGCTTTATCAAATAACTTTTTTTAACTGAGCAAAATATTTATGGTAGAATTACTTCACTTCTAAATGAATCAATTACTCCTTATTTTCATTACAACAATAAATCCAACCAATATCACCTTTTAATATTACTAAAAAACTAAGAACATCCTTATAAATCTTAGAAAATAATTCTGATTCAAAAAAGCAACCCTTTAATTCTCCCATTAGATCTATCCCTACTAGTTTCCCAATCATCATGTAATCTCCACCTTAATAAACATAATAAATCAATAACCAATATCCATAATTTACTACTCCTTAAATATCGAAAAATTCAAATGGAAAGACTTTTACTTACCAACAACCTATTTTCATTCCATTTACTGTTCCAATATCCAAAGAAATTATTTCAGCACTTAAAACCAATAGTGAGTAATAAAAGGTAAAATGATAATATTTTTATTTTCAAATTGATAATAAAAATACTTAAACTATTATTTGATCTTCAAAACTACCAAATAAGATGAATACATTGCAATGAAATTTCCACTTAGCTGGTACAGTATTTATTAAATAATTGCATAAATTAGTTACTTCAAATTTTTATATTTTTACTAAAAATTTAGCCATTTGTTCAATATTTATGTATAAATTTATAGTTAAATATTAAACCAGCAGAAATCTATAAATTTACGAAAATTTTTATTTTTTCTGATGATTTCTGGGAAAATTTATTCTTATTTTGAAAAATTATTGAAATTCATTATTTAATATTTATTTTAATTAATTAAATCTTGAAAAATTAATATTAATTAGTAGAAGCTTTCTTTAATTTATATTTGATTTTTGATTTTGATATTGAATGTAAAATAATGTATCATTCACCTCCTGCAGATTTAGTTCCTGGAGCAATGAATTGTTAGATTTCATCATAAAGAACTAAAACGAGTGATGCACCTATTCCTCTAAAGAAATTTGATAGTGCTCCTTTGAAAAAGGCTTTTGCGCCTTCATTCTTAGCAATCTTAATTGCACAATCGAGTGTATTTTTATAAAGAATATCAGCTCTTCCTAATTAATAGATAATGATAAAGAAATACCTGATTACATCATCATTCTTCTTCTAATTGTATCTAAAGGATATGAAATGACTCCTGCTGTTCCTGTAATGAATTAAGCAACAATGAATTTTGCAACAATGTTATTCATCATTGGATGTCTAAAGATTGTTCCCTTTGCTGTGTCATATGTACCAAAATAGACACCTCTATACACAACGATTCCCAAAACTGAAACTCCAAATCCTCTATATAATCCAATGAAACCATCAGACTTATAAACTTTGCTCAAACAATCTTATAAACCACTAAATTGTCTGTCAGCCTTCTTACCAATATCTGCAGCTAATCTTGTTCTTGCAAAATCGAGTGGATAAACAACCATTAAAGAAGTAGCACCAGCTGCACCACCTGAAGCCATATTTCCTAAGAAGAAAAGAAATTTCTCTTTTCTTGGGTCTTAATGATACTAATATTTATTACCAAATGGACAAAATAGCTTTTTGTAGGCATCTTTGAAAGCAAAGTTCAATGCTTATGTTGGGAAATATCTGATGACATTAGCCAAATTACCTCTCCATAAGGCAGATAATCCCTTTGATCATTTATTTAAAAGCAATACCTCTTCTTTTGGGACTCTGATGAAGCAGTCAATAATACCATTGTATTTCTTAGCACCACCTTCTAAGATTTTTTTATTAGCATCTTAGGTTTAAAGTAACAGTTTGACTCTTTCAATTGGAGCAACAGCGGTCTTTGAAACAGCGGCTGATACACCACCAATCATGAAATCTCTCAAGAAATCAGCCATTTATAAGAAAAAAATAAATCTTTTTTAAAATTTTGGAACAAATTTGTGCTTATATATCACAAATAAATAAATATTATATACTATTCATTAATTTTTATATTTTTATTACACCACTCCTAATATGTTTATTAAAACCTTTTTTAAAAGCTAATTTCTTGAATTCTATTTTAAATTCACATCTATCAAGTTAACCATATTATTTTTCTATTCAAACCATTCATACTTCAATATATCAGTTATATTCAATCAATTTTTTTAATCTCTCCTTCATTATAATTTAAACTCTATTTATTATTAAATTATGCTTATATATATTTTTTTCAATATATTCTTTAATATATGTGTCTAATTTAAAATTTAAAATTTAAGGTTTTTTAAATTTACGTAACGAAAAGTTTTAAAGTTTTATAAATTTTATAAACAATGGGTTAATTGTTTATTTCACTCTCTAATTTTTTTTTTCCTCCAAAATTTATGCCATTTTCGCATTACATAAATTATAAAGTAAAATAGCTTTTCATTATAGTAAAGTTAATCATCAGCTCCTAAAACATGTTGATATAGTTCAGTTGTCTTAGTATATATATGATAAACCATTCAGAGAGACAATTTGATCCCAAATGTCAAAAATATTATAATTGAATTTCATGATGGTTTGAACTTAATCAGATAACTAATTTAAAAAAGGTCAAGCTATTTCGAGATGTTTTTAGATTATTATTCCTTAATTTACAGTGATACATGCTTTGATAATTGAATCTAATTTTCTGTTTTAAGCAAAGAATATTACAAATAATGGATATTATTTATTAAGCAAATTCTTGCAATTATGAATATTAGGTTTAATTATCTAAAATAATGAGTTTTAAAAAATTTAGGAATTTTAATTGAATCTCGTAATTTTTAAAATCAAATCTTCTTCTCTATTCTAAACTCTGATTAGATTTCCTTCTTGAATTTGAAAATAATATCACATTTATTCTCATTATTTTCTCTATCCTGTTGTTTACGACAATACTTAAAAATTTTTAATACTGTTTATCAATTATTCTTTGAACTAAGTTAAAGATTAAATCTAGATTGATCTAGTCTCGCAGTCGTTAAAAGTATCAACAGGCTTGTTAAAACTTTTTTGTATATTAAGTGAAAAATAAATGATGTCTTTGGTACTATTGTCTCCTTATATAAGAGAATGTAAGTCCATTGCGATTTTATTTATATTACAAAAATAAGCATCATAATAAAGAAAGAATAACAAATTGAAATATAATTCAGGTTAAAATAAAATTAAAAATATGATGAATATTATATATAAAAATGACATAATCATTAAAAATTGAAGAAGATATATAGTATATAATTAATTATATATAAATATAATCGAGTTATTTTTCAGATTTAGTCATTTATGATGCAAAAATGAAATGTAGAAATATAAAAAATACATTTTATGTAAAAATTATTGTATGAAATTGATTGAATATAACTGATATATTGAAGTATGAATGGTTTGAATAGAAAAATAATATGGTTAACTTGATAGATGTGAATTTAAAATAGAATTCAAGAAATTAGCTTTTAAAAAAGGTTTTAATAAACATATTAGGAGTGGTGTAATAAAAATATAAAAATTAATGAATAGTATATAATATTTATTTATTTGTGATATATAAGCACAAATTTGTTCCAAAATTTTAAAAAAGATTTATTTTTTTCTTATAAATGGCTGATTTCTTGAGAGATTTCATGATTGGTGGTGTATCAGCCGCTGTTTCAAAGACCGCTGTTGCTCCAATTGAAAGAGTCAAACTGTTACTTTAAACCTAAGATGCTAATAAAAAAATCTTAGAAGGTGGTGCTAAGAAATACAATGGTATTATTGACTGCTTCATCAGAGTCCCAAAAGAAGAGGTATTGCTTTTAAATAAATGATCAAAGGGATTATCTGCCTTATGGAGAGGTAATTTGGCTAATGTCATCAGATATTTCCCAACATAAGCATTGAACTTTGCTTTCAAAGATGCCTACAAAAAGCTATTTTGTCCATTTGGTAATAAATATTAGTATCATTAAGACCCAAGAAAAGAGAAATTTCTTTTCTTCTTAGGAAATATGGCTTCAGGTGGTGCAGCTGGTGCTACTTCTTTAATGGTTGTTTATCCACTCGATTTTGCAAGAACAAGATTAGCTGCAGATATTGGTAAGAAGGCTGACAGACAATTTAGTGGTTTATAAGATTGTTTGAGCAAAGTTTATAAGTCTGATGGTTTCATTGGATTATATAGAGGATTTGGAGTTTCAGTTTTGGGAATCGTTGTGTATAGAGGTGTCTATTTTGGTACATATGACACAGCAAAGGGAACAATCTTTAGACATCCAATGATGAATAACATTGTTGCAAAATTCATTGTTGCTTAATTCATTACAGGAACAGCAGGAGTCATTTCATATCCTTTAGATACAATTAGAAGAAGAATGATGATGTAATCAGGTATTTCTTTATCATTATCTATTAATTAGGAAGAGCTGATATTCTTTATAAAAATACACTCGATTGTGCAATTAAGATTGCTAAGAATGAAGGCGCAAAAGCCTTTTTCAAAGGAGCACTATCAAATTTCTTTAGAGGAATAGGTGCATCACTCGTTTTAGTTCTTTATGATGAAATCTAACAATTCATTGCTCCAGGAACTAAATCTGCAGGAGGTGAATGATACATTATTTTACATTCAATATCAAAATCAAAAATCAAATATAAATTAAAGAAAGCTTCTACTAATTAATATTAATTTTTCAAGATTTAATTAATTAAAATAAATATTAAATAATGAATTTCAATAATTTTTCAAAATAAGAATAAATTTTCCCAGAAATCATCAGAAAAAATAAAAATTTTCGTAAATTTATAGATTTCTGCTGGTTTAATATTTAACTATAAATTTATACATAAATATTGAACAAATGGCTAAATTTTTAGTAAAAATATAAAAATTTGAAGTAACTAATTTATGCAATTATTTAATAAATACTGTACCAGCTAAGTGGAAATTTCATTGCAATGTATTCATCTTATTTGGTAGTTTTGAAGATCAAATAATAGTTTAAGTATTTTTATTATCAATTTGAAAATAAAAATATTATCATTTTACCTTTTATTACTCACTATTGGTTTTAAGTGCTGAAATAATTTCTTTGGATATTGGAACAGTAAATGGAATGAAAATAGGTTGTTGGTAAGTAAAAGTCTTTCCATTTGAATTTTTCGATATTTAAGGAGTAGTAAATTATGGATATTGGTTATTGATTTATTATGTTTATTAAGGTGGAGATTACATGATGATTGGGAAACTAGTAGGGATAGATCTAATGGGAGAATTAAAGGGTTGCTTTTTTGAATCAGAATTATTTTCTAAGATTTATAAGGATGTTCTTAGTTTTTTAGTAATATTAAAAGGTGATATTGGTTGGATTTATTGTTGTAATGAAAATAAGGAGTAATTGATTCATTTAGAAGTGAAGTAATTCTACCATAAATATTTTGCTCAGTTAAAAAAAGTTATTTGATAAAGCCTTGATATAGAGAGACAATGGGTCTCTAGTATATAACATATATAAAGGCTTATTCTATATTAAGATTTCTTTTTTTCATCATATAGGATACAACAATTGTTGTAGATCTTGATATGCCTTCATGACAATGGACTAAAAAATTAGTATATTATCTGGATGATTCTAAGTAATTATGAGCTTATTCAAAAAGTGTTGTCATATCAAAGTGAGGAGTGTCATGACAATCGAATATGAGATTATTGATTTCTGATGCATTTTGAATTTCTAGTAATAAATGATTGATTACTAAATTCAGAATAGATAGAAAGAACAGATGTAATATTGTAGTAATTTAATGCATTTATGTTTGTAGCTGTAATGATGGAACCTTAAAAGAGACCTCCTCTTTTTTTGATTGATTCTATGATACAGGAAATATCATAATTGTTAATCATTATAATAATAAATTATAATCAAGCATTTTATTGGAAATGTCTGGATAAGGCAGTTTGATGTCTAAATTCTAGTCTTTTTCTTTCATCATAATAAAATACTATTATTCCTATAATGGAAGGCACCAAAGCTAAATATAGTAAGATATAATACCAACAGCAAAGACAACAACAGCTATGGGTATAAGTGCAACACCTATTAACAAAGCGAGAATCAACAAGCATGCCTATATCCAACAATTTTTATCTCTGTAAAAACTTGTTTATTTTAGTTTGGCTATACAAAACAAAGGAGCAATTACTAATACAAACATAGGAGTGAATATAATTAAGAGTATAAAGCAAATAAATCTCCATATAATTAACTTAACATAAGACCAATCTTTTTATCGAATCCAACCTGGCATCAAGGCAGGACAACCAAAAGGATTGAAAATTGCATAATGAATTGATGTATAATCGCTTCCACAAATCCAACACCATTCATGTTAACAAAATTAACAAGTCATATGATTACAACCATTAATCTTCTCAACAATTATTTTACATCTTGGACACTATTGTGTATCTCTATTTTCTTACCATTCATTTAAAACTTATTATAAGTTTTCTTCACAAGTTTGTAGTGGATGTGATCTTTGTTTACATAATTTACAAACTTCTACTTTACAATAAGCACAAGTTGAAATGGTTGATTATTATTTGAATTCTATAACACTATTGCAATTTATAGTTGGACACCATGCTTTATTAGGATTCATAGCAATTTCCAAGTTTTAATGACACTTTATATATTTTGTATAAAGTTCTTATGAATGTTCCAATACATCAATATCTCTAATTGGAATATCACAATGAGGACATCTAATATTATTTATTTTCCTATCATCTATTGATTGTCTTAAATAATTGTAAAAGCAATTTAAGCAAATCAAGTGTTTTTCTGAATTTAGATGAACTAAATCTTTATCCAAATATATCAAATAACAAACACAGCATTATTAATTTTCTTATATTATATCTATTATTCTGTTTGTTTTTGCAACTAATTTCTCACTATTTTCATCAATCTTCTCATGAAACTACTAAGATTTATTGCAAACTCCACATTAATTATTACTCTATTAAACATATCTATGTGTTTCATCATGTTATAGATATATTGCAGCATCTTAAATTCTACTAAATCCTTTAAAATGTATGGCATATATAGATTGAAATATGTTAAATCCTTCTAATTAAGTTAAATCAATTATTAATTAAAGTTCTTGTAAATCTATCTTTGATGAATGATTATCAGGTTCAATTCCATCATCTATAACATCCTAAAATTTTACATAATTCATTAATTTTATAATTTATTCATTATTTCTTATTTAATACTTTATTATATATTAATATTATTCATTATATTTCAATACAATCATGTAAATCTGCTAATCTAACACAAAAGAATAGTTTCTAATCTTNGGATACATACAAATAAATATTCAACAAATATGGTTTATAATTAATAATATCTTTAAGACCCAAAGAAATAGTCATTCCTCTTTTTCTTAAGCAATATGGTTGCAGGGGGTGCAGCTGGTGCTACATCTTTAATTGTTGTTTATCCACTTGACTTTGCTAGAACAAGATTGGCAACAGATATTGGTAAATAGGCTGATCGACAATTTATTGGTTTGACAGATTGTTTGAGCAAAATTTATAAGTCTGATGGTTTCATTGGATTATATAGAGGATTTGGAGTTACAATTTTTGGTGTAATGTTTTATAGGGCAATATATTTTGGTGCTTATGACACTGCTTTAAAAACGTTTGATTTGCCAAATCATATATTTTATAAATTTCTTTTAGCTTAATTTGTTACATGTACAGCAGGAGTCATTTCATATCCTTTAGATACAATTAGAAGAAGAATGATGATGTAATCAGGTATTTCTTTATCATTATCTATTAATTAGGAAGAGCTGATATTCTTTATAAAAATAGTATTCAATGTTGTTATAAAATTATAAAGAATGAAGGAATAAGAGGATTGTTTAAAGGATTTTTATTAGAATTCACTTCTAAATTAGGATTCTCATTAATGTTAGCTTTATACTCTAATATATAATAATTTTCTACCTTAAATTGAATAGAAAATGAATATTAATGGTTAAATATATTAGGGTATATAATAAATTTCTTTATTTTTTTAAAGCATTATTATATAATGTCTCACATGCCATATTTTTTAAATTCTTTAATCTTCTTGTGATTTAAGTTTTAATGAAATAATTATAATTACTAATGATAATGTGTTGAGATAAAGTAAATGATTGCTTTAGGAGAATGAATTAAAGATGTCTAAATGGGTTAAAAGTTAAGATTTATTTTAATGAATAAATAAATAAATATATTATGAATTAAGATATTTAGACATAAGAACAATTGATTGAGTACTTAACTTCAATTGACTAGTAACATTTGATAACATATATTAACAATTATACTCAATAATAGATTACTGAATTCATAGATCAAATAAATCAACTTAATAAGAATTATCCAGGTGGAATCTAAGAATATGCAAATAGAGCAAGAAAAGTATAAAATAAATATATATATTAAGTTATTACTTGATGCTTCTGAAGATGTTAATCCTTTTGCTGAATATACTGCTCATGTACCATAAGGATAAAATGTAGATATTTATTCTGATGAATATTCACGATTGGAATAATTGGGAGTAGAGGAAATTAAAGATACATGTTTTGTATTAGTTGCAGGTGGTTTAGGTGAGAGATTAGGTTATGATGGAATTAAAGTAGCTTTACCAATAGAATTAGTTACTAATACAACTTACTTAGAATATTATTGTTAATTTATACTGAATTTATAAAAAAAACATGGAAATAAATTATTACCATTTGCAATAATGACATCAGATGATACTCACAAATTAACTTTATAATTATTGGAAAATAATTTATATTTTGGATTATAAAAAGAATAAGTTTCTTTAATTAAATAAGAAAAAGTACCAGCCATGTTGGATAATCTTGCTCATTTTGCTCAAGTTCCAGGAAAATTATTAATAGATACTAAACCACATGGTCATGGTGATATTCATACATTATTATATATGTCTGGTTTAGCATAAAAATGGAAGAATGAAGGAAGAAAATGGTTATTTATATTTTAAGATACAAATGCATAAGCCTTTAGAGCATTACCAGTAGTTTTAGGAGTAAGTAAAGAAAATAAATTTGAATTAAATTCTGTTGTTGTAAGTCGTAAACCTGGAGAAGCTGTTGGAGCTATATGTTATTTAGTTGATAAAAATAATAAAGGATTAACTTTGAATGTTGAATATAATTAATTAGATCCATTAGTCAAAGCTTAAGGTGGTGAACCTGTAGATGAATAAGGATTTTCTAAATATCCTGGTAATATTAATTGTCTATTGTTTTCATTGAATGAATATGAAACAGTATTATAAGAAACTAAAGGATTGATAGCTGAATTTATCAATCCTAAATATGCAGATGCTACAAAAACTAAGTTTAAATCATCATCCAGATTAGAATGTATGATGTAAGATTATCCTAAACTTTTGGGACCACAAAATAAAGTAGGATTTACAGCTTTGAATAGAAGATTTTGTTTTTCAGCTTGTAAAAATGATCTTGCTACTGCTTTAACTAAATAGAAATCTAATTTACCATTAGAATGTGCAGGTTCATCAGAAAATGATTTCTATTGGCTTAATGCAGAATTATTAAGAATGGCAGGTGTTAAAATTCCTGATTAAATTTCAGATGAAGTTAATTATAATGGATTAGAATTCAAATTTGGTCCAAAAATTGTATTACACCCATCATTTGGTGTTACTCTATCTGAAATTAAATCTAGAATAAAAGGAAGTAAGATTATTTAATTATTTTTATAGATGTTTAAATTTCATCAAATTCAACTGTAATTTTAGGTGGATAAGCAGAATTACATTCTGTAAATATAGATGGTTATGCTTAATTATTTGGAAATGGTAAATTAATATAATTTAATTTATAGGTTAATTTAATGTTGATATTAAAGATACTAATGGACCAAAATTAGTAGCATTAGAATAATAAGATGGTGTACCTGGATATATAAAGATTAGGGGTTATAGATTATAAAAATGAGATATATATTAATAAGATTAGAATTTACAATTTATTAATTATATATATGATATATAAATCATATTAATTAATTAGGTATGTTTGAATATGCCATGATATTTTCATTGTTAAAATCAACAAATTAATTCTAAAAAAGATAAAAAATATGAATATACATTTGAGAAATTAAAGTTTGGTAATTCAGGCATAAAATTTTACTTTATTTATGGTTTTATTGATTATTAAATTCTTTTAATATTATAGTGTGATTATTTACGTCCTTTATTAAACCCAAATAATTTATATTCATCATAAATTTTTATAAGTAATTACTCAACTAATTAACAGGCCTATTATTTATTAAACAATTATATTACTTTTAAAAATAGATGATTATGTTTAGATGAAACACATAAATGTAAAGGTTCTTATGATTCTCTTTTTTCTGGACCTTCTTTATATCCAGAACCTCTTCCTCTTAATCTGAGTTTAACAAGATCTTATTCTTTTGTATCACTATCTATTAAGCATTAATCAATAATTTTCTTCATATTACATCCCTTAGCTCCTAAATATGTTTGAATTATAAAATTACCTATAATTTTGCGTGCTACTTAAAAGTCTTTATCATTATCAATTTAAACATCATATCTGCAAGTAAATTTTTATTAATTGGAGTCTTATATTTCCATAATTTCTAATAAATCTTGTTAAGTAGTAAATTCAATTTTGATAGTAACATCCAACTCTTTAATTTAATGTTTGTTTAATAGTTTATATACAATGAAAGCATCAAAAAGTGTATTGAACTTAATTATTATTGCTCCATTTAGTTTTGTATAGACTTATTTAACTTCTCCAAAATTTTCACAAACCTATAATTTTGAATATAAAAATTTCGTTACTTATTTAATATCTTCTTAATCCAACTCAATTTCATAATTGTCTTCACTTGATAATTCAACAGTTAAATATTGATGAGGATATTGTTTATTCTATTTTTAGGATAACATAAATTACTTTTTGTTTTAGCATAGAATTAATTCTCTATTTTACTTTTTGATCATGTATAATAAGATTTATTTATTCTCTATTTGTAGGAGACGCATTTACTAAATTATCATCACTTTATTCTAACTAAAAAGTTATTATGGAATCATACAAGGAAATTAGTCATCTCCTCTATTTGCTTAGAGATCTCTTAGAAACTCATTAATAAATTCGGTTAAAATAATATATTTTGTATTATTCATATCATCTCTTCACTTTTTAATTGTTTTAAAAATGGAATCTTAGTATATTTTGGAACAGAAAGACGTTTACATATTCTCTATTAATAAGAATATGCAGGAGTCTATACACCAGAACGAGGTCTATAATTTTTCAAACTATCACTACCTTACTCTTTCAGGTGTTCTTAAACCTTATTTAAATGAAACTAACCAATGTCTATCTCCATTTGTATTCATTAAACCACCATGATTATCTCTATTTACATTAATATGCAATACAATTTACAAAACATATTTATCTCTTCCACTTCCATCACTAACATAATGTAAAGTTTTATTGCTTGATTAAGGTCTAAAAATTGGACCATTGCGTTTAGGTTGAAAACTTCCTATTTGTGGTTAATGACATCTTTATGCATGCATAGTCAATCCTCCATTATCAAATTATATGTAGGTATCACGACCTAAAGTTATTTTATATTCAATCATATCTACCTGTTCCATCTGAATAATAATAATTAGCTCTTCCATATTAAGCTTCTGTTTTTATGTTATTTACTTTCATTCTTTTAATATTATTATAAATACTTAATTCAAATATTATTATTATTATTATAATATTGATATTTTTAAAACTAAATTAGAAATCACTTTGAAAATTTAGATAATTGTTATAATAAGTATTGGAATATGTATTTAATAAATATTTGTATTAATATTTTATTTTATTCAGTTTCTTTCTTTTCATTAACAAATTTTGTATTAAAATGTTATTATGAATCATATAGCTTAGTGTTATAATAGAATTATTATAGATTGTTAATTCTATTATAAATATCATCAAGAAATTTTGGAAAAACATCATAAATATACTGATCATTTTTATTTATATTTGTTTTATTTGTTTTTTTCACATATATATTTTCATCTCTAATCAATTAGATTTTACTATATTTATAAAAAGTAGAATTTAAATTAAAAATGAATAAAATATAAATTTGATTTGAATCATTTTCAGTTGATTTCTTTAACAATCATTAAAGAAAGTGAAGAATAATAGAATTATAATAAATTTACTATATAAATATTCTTTAACTCTTTAAAATGTAATTATTTAATTGAAATCAATTTTTTATCAAAATTTTTGTGATAGATTAAGGCAATTTTTGATAAAGAATATGAATTCAATAAACTTCTTTTACATCTAGAATCCTATTAAACTCCTTTATATAATAATTAGAAGTCCATCTTACAAGTAATTGTTATATTTCCATAAATAACTTACTATTTTTTATCTAAGAGATCAATATAATTATGGATAATTTGATTTAAATAAACATTGAAGAAAAGTAGAATGAAAAGTGATATTTAAGTGATAATATATATATAGTTGATGAAATAAAAGAGGAGATAGAATTGTCAAGTTTTTTAATTAAAAATTATTAAAATGATATTCATGTGGAGTTGATTAAAATTGAATACATCAAAAGAATATTATAATATTCAATAATTATTGTATTTCAACTGACTAACTTGGACAACAAAAACTTTTAATCACTTTTCTTAATTATATATTGACTAATTAGAAAATAATATTTTTTAGTTGATAACCTTTTAAAAAGATATACACTTTATGATTATTTAATTGATGAATTTATATGTATAAAGGCAATTTAATAATAATTATTAATAGATAATGTAAGACTTTTAAATATGCAACATGAAAATATTTTAATTTAATTTAAATGGGAATTTATAATGATAAAATTGATCGAATTAATTTTATATTATTGAGGTATAAACAATAAATAGAAATAATTTACTAAAATTTATTTAATACATTATTTCTAAAGAATGAAAAATGGTGTTTTAGGATATATATTTAAAGTGATTTTATTTTTTAGTAAGTTATTTTATCATAATTCTATTGAAATTATTTAAGAGTTAATACAATTATTAAAAATAACATATTAATAGAATTAAGATATTTAAATTCATGGAATAATGTTTATTTTCTATTAATTATTAATAATAGAAGTAATGGATTAAGAGATTAGAAATATATTTTATCCTTGCACAGACTTTCTTTCAAATTCACTTGTTCATGCAGAAATTTAAGAATAATCATTTGATCATAATCATTTTTAATATACAAATCAAAACCATACTCAAGAATAGCATTCTTAAAGAATGTCATAAAATAGTACTCAGAAAATGGTTTATAAAGAAAAAGATCTTAAATATAAAAACTTCCCAAAATTAATTGGAAATAATTTTTTGAAATGGATTAAAAAGTTAATTAATGATGAGAAAATAAAAGTAGTTCCAAAAGGGATTGATAATTTAATGAAATCAAGATAGAAATGTAAATAACCTAATTTTACAATAAAAGATCTTTAAGAATTATGTAGTGATGAAGCTTCTTAAAAGCTTTTTTAAGAATATATTTAAGATGAATTATTCTTAGATATATTTCATAGCAATAAAATTGCTGATCCATTTTCATATATTCCAGGTATTAGTAATTATTTTGCTTGTTCATAAGAACCTTAAAAAATGAAAAGTAATTATTTAACCAGAAAATAATTTACTCATATTTCCGAATAAACTGAGTGATTTTATTTATTTATATGTATAAAAAAATTAACTTTATGTAAAGAGTTTAAATTTTAATGAATAATTAATATTCAAGTAAATATTTGTCAAATGTTAAATCAATAAAGACTGATAAATTATATCTCAATTATTTAATTTATTTTTATTATGAAACCAGCAACTTATTTAAAAAAAGTTGGACCTTATAGTCTAATAAGAGAGATTGGTTAAGGTATTATTTCATAAGGGAGTAGGTTCATTTGCAAGAGTATTTAGAGGGAAATTAGATGGAAGGCAAGAAGATGTGGCAATCAAAATGATTTCAAAGTAGAATGTTAGAAATGAGAGTATGTCTATGATTGAAAAGGAGATTGAGATTTTAAGATAATTAGATCATCCTAATATTATAAAATTAATAGATTTTAAAAGAACTTAGAATCATTATTATTTAGTATTTGAATATTGTGAAAATGGAGATTTAGATGCATATATTAGGTAATATAATAATAGTTTAGGTTTAGAAAATATTCTCCTAATGGAAAATTACCAGAAGAAGAAGTAAGAAGAATAGTTTAGTAATTAGCATAAGCATTGTAATAAATGTACAAATTAAGAATTGTACATAGAGATTTAAAATTAGCAAATATATTAGTATCTAAGAATTTTTAAGTATTGAAAAAAGAATTACGTATAGATTAAATTAGCTGATTTTGGATTTGCCAAATATATGGAAGAAGATTAATATTTAACATCTTATTGTGGAACTCCATTAACAATGGCACCAGAAATATTATAAAGAAAATAATATAATGAAAAATGTGATGTATGGTCTGTAGGTGTGATAATTTATTAAATGATATATGGTAGATCTCCATTTGTACCACCAAAGGGAGGTAATATAAATGATTTAATTGCAATAATTAATAAAGGTGATTTATAATTTCCTGAAATATCTACAATATCAATAAAATTAAAAGAATTATTAATACAAATGTTATAATAAGATTTTAAGAAAAGAATAAGTTTTAGAGATTTCTTTGAACATATTTGGTTATAAGGAGAAGTGAAAGCTGATTATATATAGAGTATTAAACAAGATTTATAAGAGAATTCATGTGAAATAATGCCTATAATACATCATAAAGCAAGTGAAGATATTTAAGAAGAGGAGATATTCAATAATGAAAGAGATGATAGTACAAATGAAGTTTTAAAAGATTAATAATTAAAATATATAGGATATTAATTATAAAAATAAGCAATAGGATATTTAGATTTAATGTTTGAAGAAATTTATAAAGTTAAATAATTGTGTGATAAAATATAGAATACAAAAATATAATTTTAGTTTTTAAAAAATAAATTAATTAGTTTATCATTAGCAATTAGAATTTATGAAGCATTTTTATTAAAATAAGTTAATGAATTTATGAAAGAATAAATAGTTGTATTACATACACCTTCAAGTAATAGTAGTTTGATTAGTTTATAAATGAAAAGACCATTTTAAACTCATTAAATTATGTTATAAAAAGAAATTATTGAATTAAAAAATTATTTTAAAGAAAATTAAATGATTATAAATTAATTTGAATAATGTGGTTATTGTATTGCAGATAATATATTTGATGAAATTTTAGAATTATTAATGAATCTTATTGAACATTAATAATTAATAGATTAAAATATTTTTACACAATTACTATAATTGTTGTATTCATTTATTTAATCTCCACCTTAATTATTATAAGTTGAATTATATATGAAATTATAAACAGGAAATGATATGAATTATTATTGGCATCTATTTAAACTTGTTAGAGTTAATTAAAAATATATTGCAGATTCTATTGAAAATCAAATTGTATGTGAAAATTATGAATTTGATAAAAAATTATAATTTGAATGGAAATTAGTTAAAGATGATAGTGAAGAAACCTAAGTGTCTTTCAATAAAGAAGAAATTGATAAATTATAAGACTTACTAAAAGAAGAATATACCAAAAGGGATATACGTTAATAAATATAATGATAATTAAAATTAAATGGAGTACTTAACTAATGAAAAACTCCTTAAATAATAACAATCAGCTCTATTTTCTATCAACAATTCTCGTTCTAATAGTGTTTCACGATTTCCCATTCCTAGTCAAAGAGCCGTCCATGATCCAGTACAACCATTAAGATCTGCAGATTTGTTTAATAAATTAGAAGACATATTAAAATAAAAGTAATTGAGTACAACAACAAGAAAGAGATAAAAATAAATATCATGTATTTTAAATTCATAAGCTTGTAATGATGATAAAAAATAATAAAATATAGAAGCTAGTTATTATAAATCACCTATTAGATTAGTTGATGTACAAACAAATGGTTTCATTGATGTAATATGTTTATATTTATTATGATCTATAGAATAATATTGATGTTAGAAATAGGAGATAAACTATATTTATTGGATCACCTCCATTTAACTAATCAAATTAAAGTAACAAAAAGAGAAATACTATTTAAAATCAATTTCAAGAAAATTTAAATTAAAAAAAAAAAGAGAGTCTTAAAAGGTTTGAAGTAGAGTTTAATAATATGTAAGAAAAAATTAGAGGCAGAAATAATGTATATATTAATATATATATATATATTAGTCTATTTTATATGAAGAATAAGAAAATATTAAAAGAAATTAAATTAAAGAAAGAAAAATAGATTTGAATATAAGTACATCAAAAGAAAATAATACAACATTAAATAAATTAAATCATCAATTATAAATACAAAATAATCATTTATAAGAATAGTTAATTTTTGAATAAAATTAAAATACAAAATTAAATATGCTCATTAATAATTTAAATGATTAAATTACAGGATTATATAAGTAATTAAATATATAAATATTATATAGATAAATAAATTAATAATAATAATAAAATAATGAAGATTGTATTATTAAAGATAATTTTATGAAATAATATAATACTAAAATAGAATAATTAGAGATTGATATTAAATAAAAAGATCAAGAAATTCATAATTTATAAAATTAAATATCTGAATTTAATAATGTTTATAAAGAAATGTAAGAATTAGAAAATCTATGTTCTTCAATGTCCTTTTTAGGTAAATTATGTATTGGACATAATCATTTAATTTAAGAAATTAAAGATTTATTATAAGTGTAAAATAATATTATTGAAAAAGTAACAAATAATAAAGATTTTCCTATTGATTAATTAATTATATCCAAAAAATAGAAAAAAAATAATCAATAAATTTAAATTGATTATTAAGAATTATGTTAACAAACCACCATTATCTTAGAAAATATAATTAAATAAATTAAAAGTTCTATTGAACAATTAACAGAAAGATTTATTCATGACTTACTTATTTGACTAATTAAATAATTATAATTTACTTTGTCATTTATATAATTTAAAAATAATGAATGTAGTCTCATATCAATATAAAACCATCATTGAGGATCTATTAAATGTAATATCTGAATAACACAATCCTTTTTTAGATATTAAAATCAAGAAAATTAAAGAAAGACTTCATTATATAGAATTATAATAAAGACAAAATAGATTAACTGATTTACAATCTAAATAAATGATTAGATTACAATCAATTCCAATAAAACCTAAATTGATATAAAATACTAAATTTAGAGCTCAATCAACTGCTTATCATTAGAGATTTGTATAATTGCATATTTGATTATTAAAATTATGTAATAAATATATAACCCAGATGAAAGGATGAATATTGAATTATTTTTAGCTGCTAGAGAACTTCCTAATCTTGAATTCTTATCTAAAAGTGATCCTTATTTAGAATTATATTATTCTCTATAAGGTGAACCAGAAATAAGTTTAGGCAAAACTGAAACAGCTGAATGTAATTTAGATCCTAATTGGGAAAAATCATTTATTATTGAATATTTACCAAATTTAATTCAAATACTTAGATTTTAAATATTTGATGAAAATAGAATGGGAAGAGAATTTATGGGAGAAGCATAAATAACAATAAAAGACATATTATAATCTAAAAATTCATTAATTTCATTACAAATCAAAAGATTTGATAAAAATGCAGGATAATTATTATGTAAAGCAGTATTAATGAAATAATCAAATCATTTTGTTTAATGGTAATTTTCTGGTTCAAATATTAAAAATATGGATGGTATTTTTGGTAAATCTGATCCATTTCTTAAATTTTATTTATATTCAGATAATGTATGGTGTTAAATACATTAAACTGAATATATAAAAGATGATCTAAATCCAACATGGAAAGAATTTGAAATATCTTTATAAAGATTATGTTTAAATGATGAAAATAAAAAATTTAAAATAGAATGTTTAGATAGACATGAAAAAGGAAAAAATAATTAATTAATAGGTTCATTTGAAACAACAATTGATGAAATATTCAATAAAAATAAAGAAGAATTTTCACTTGTATAACCTAAAGGAGGTTAAGTAGGAACAATAAGAATAAAAAATAAAAAAAGAATATATAGAGCAAATTTTGATGATTATATTAAACAAGGTACAACATTTAATCTAATTATTGGTATTGATTATTCTACTCATAATGGTGTTCCATCATTTCCAGATTCTTTACATTCTTATATAGATAACAATAATAAATATGGAAAAGTAATAAGTGATGTAGCTTAAGTTTTAGAAAAATATAATTAAAAAAAATTATTTGCAATATATGGAATAGGTGCAGAACCACATTTAACTAATTATACATTAAATACTTATTAAACTTTATTTCCATTAACAGGAGATTTTTAAAAACCTTAAGTTGAAGGATATTAAGAAGTTGCAAATTTATATAAAAATACATTAAAATAAATAGTTGTAAAAGGTGATTTTTAAATTGAAGACTACATTAATTATATATAAACAATAGCTGAAGCTAATGCTGGTAAGTTAATATATACAATTTGTGTTATAATTGCATAAGGTAAAATTACAGATGCTTAAATTTTCTAAGATTTATTAATAAAAGGTATTTGTATTATTAAATTAAGGTTCCAAATTACCATATTCATTAATTTTTGTAGGTATGGGAAAGAATGATTTTACAGAAGTGAAAAGAATTATTGATAAAATTAATAATCAATAACCACCTATTAGAAATAATTTTACATTTTATGAATACAAAGAATAAACAATCTAAATGTTATCTAAACATTTATTGAATGATATACCATAACATTTAGTTAGTTATAAATAATGATCAATATTATTTTTTATTATAAAATGGGTAATTGTGAATCAGAGTAACCGATTCAAAGTTAACAACCTGTTTAAATTGATTAAAGTTCAAGTCATAATAAAAGAATCTTTGACCATAAAGCTGTAGAAAATGATGAATTTATCAGTAATAAAGTTCCAGCACCATTAGATGTTAATGGTGAAATTGAAGATGTAATTTATAATTCAAAATTTAAAGGAATTAGAAAAATTAGATCCTTAACCAGCAATTATTAATCTACCTCCATTTAATTTTGGAGAGAAAAAACATCTAAATGCAGAAAGCAGACCAGCATATCGATTAGTTGATGGATCCACTTATGTAGGAGAATGGGTTGGAGATTAAATGACAGGTAATGGTGTATTAGAAGGAAAAAATGGTAAATATGAAGGTCAATTTGAGAATGGAAGAAAATAAGGAAGAGGGAGATTTACTTTTCCTAATGGAGAAGTCTATGAAGGAGATTGGAAAGATGATTAAGAGGATGGAATAGGAACATATTATTATTCTTAAGGAACTGTCTATCATGGATAGTGGGTTTAAAATTAAAAGCATGGTTAAGGAAGAGAAGTCTTTCCTAATAGATCTAATTATTAAGGAAATTTTGAAAATGGTATAAAAACAGGACATGGAGTATTTATATGGAAAGATGGAACAAAATATGAAGGAAGATTTGTAGATAATAAAATATGTGGTTAAGGTAGAATGGAATATCCTAATGGAAGAGTTTATGAAGGAGAGTTCTTAAATGGTAAAATGCATGGAAAAGGCAAATTTAGTGTATTTATTGATGATTTATCTAATAAAGTGGCCTGATGGTAGAAATTATGAAGGGGAGTATTAATACGATAAAAAACATGGTATTGGAATCTTAACTGGATAGAATTACAGATATGAAGGTGAATGGAAAGAAGGTAAAATGGATGGAAAAGGAACATTGACAAAAGATGGAGAAATAAAAGTTGGACTTTGGCATGATAATAAGTTTGTTAGTGAAAATCATTATTGATCAACAATTTTTATAATTTTAAGAATATAAAATAAATAATTCTTATTAAAAATATTCAGTATATAATATTGTATTTAAAGGATTGTAGATTTCATAAAATTTATTTAATTAAATTACTTATTTTAATCTATATGTATTTAATTTCATATATTTTTATATCAAAATTATAAAAGATATATAAATTAAGATTCTTCTTTTAATAATAAGGCATAAATAAAGAAATTTACATTGAGAATTGATTCCAAATTATATTTTTGATAGTTTTCGATTATAAATTTAGTCATTTATTCATCACTTAATAAAGAAAAAATTAAAGTAAAACTAAGAATAATTTTTAATAAAATATAAACTATGCCAAGTTGGTTCTTAAATAAAAGAGATTGGGCTTCAAACTTAAAGATTAATCTTCTAATCTTAGTTATAATTAGCTCATAAATAGATTAAGGGAATTCACTTGAATATGAATCAGGCACTCTTACTTAAATTCTTTATCCATCTACTCCACTACATATATTAGCAGATACACATGCTGAGGATTCTCAAATATCTTTAACTTAAACATTGACTGGTTTTGTTAATGAACCTTAAATTATTTACTCAGTGTATAGAATGAACTTTGAAAATGCAGTATCTGGAGGATATACTTTTTCAATTACATCATAATCACCATCATGTAAATAAACTAATTTAGTTTTAGCATTTACGATAACAGTTGTTGCTCCAACAGTATAAAAAATTTATAATGTTTGGATTAAATGGTTAGCCTTTGCAGATAGAAATAAATAGGTTATAACTGAAGAGATTGTAACACCTTAAAATGTAGAGACATTCACAGAAACACATTTTAATAAGAATTTTATAGTGGCTGTACCAATAATAAATTATTTGTCTTATACTAGTTCTTTTACTTTTAAATTTGATGTATAATAGAATAGCTATTTAGATGCCTTCGGTTGATACTACTTATGTTTAAATAGTGTTTACAAGCACAGGAGTATCTTAAATAGGATTTCAATTATTAGTGGCAATTAAAAGTCCAGTTTACTTATTTGGTGAATAATAATGGGCTCCAGCTTCTAGCACTTTAAATTTAAGTCCATTTTAAGTTTCAAGTGTATCAATACCTCCTCTGTAATAATCAGATAACCTTAACTTTCCTATATTTTTAGGACTTACATCTGATTTAACAGATTAGGTAAATATAGAAGAAATTAGTTCATCAATTAATCCATAATTATCTTTTGAGATAGGATCTTGTATATTATTATATTAATATTAGCAACAACATGTTCTGTAACAAGTGGATGGTTTAATTATATGGTTATATCTCCTTAATTTTAAATTCCTCCACTTATTTTATAAACTTTCTCATAATAAGAATTTTATGTAAGTAGTGGTACATAATAAATCAGTGTAGAACTTCCATTATTTAAAACTACATATACAAGTACTACTGATTGGATTGAAATTGATAATACATTTATTGGAATGTAATTAGTAATTACAACTGAATGTTTATTTAAATACAAACATGATTATTGGTTTTTAGGTTCAATTGGTGATAATTAAAAATATATATAAGATTACTTTTATTGTTCTGATGGTTTTAATAGGATGAAATATATTATAAATTTCACTGATGGTGACAGACTTGAATTCAAAACAATTAAATTTGTATTCACACCTAATAGTGTTGAAATGTATTAAAAACTTGATAATATTAATTTTGATGAAGAATATAGAACTTTAAAAATAGTAATTAGTCAAGTTAGATGATTATTAATTTATTTTATTATCTTGATAATAGTTTATTGATAATAATTAAACAATATATATTTTCTATAAAACTTCATTCAAATTCACAACAGCTTGCAAAGAATTTCTTTAATATCTTCTATCCAAAGGGAATGAAACTTAAAACATACCTAAATGTTAATTATTATTAATTACCAAACATATGCACAAAATTAAACTAATGTCATAAGTAGTGTTAAAAATGTTAAATCAGTTGCAAATGCTAGTACAAGAGTTACAGTCAATGTTGAAAAGAATATTATTGTAGAAATTAATCTACTTTTATCTGCCATCTTCTTACATTAATCTTTTGGACCAGATAAAAATAAAGTACTAAACTATACAATTTCCTATTCTTACCTCAATATTGCAACTAAATTTCCTATTGAAAATATTATTGCAAATTCTTTGCCATTCCCTTAAAAAAATGATATAAAAGCACAAAATTCTAAAAACCAACCTAATATTTATTAAATCTATTATATTACCTATTCCACTACATATCAAAAATCCCCATAATCTTTATTGATATGTAAGTTTTGGACAAACAGCATCTAAAGGATCATCCTTTTTATCTGAAAAAAAATTATAATCTCCTTTCATTTTATATTTTCTTTCAAATAAATATCTTTTTTATTATTTATTTTTTTATTTAATAATGTCAAGAAGAGGTCAATAACCACCACCATAACAATAATAAGCTCCAACTTAAAAAAATTAAGCTGGTAAATTCAATCCATCTGAATTTGTTAAACCTGGATTGACCGAAGAAGAAGTCTTAGAAATAAAAGAAGCATTTGACTTATTTGATACAGATGGGTATATCTATATCATTATTATTTCTAGTACATAATCCATTGACCCAAAGGAATTAAAAGCTGCTATGACTTCATTAGGATTTGAAGCCAAAAACTAAACAATTTATTAAATGATTAGTGATTTAGATACTGATGGAAGTGGACAAATTGATTTTGCTGAGTTTTTGAAATTGATGACAGCTAGAATTAGTGAAAGAGATTCTAAAGCTGATATTTAAGTATATAAATATCATAAACTATTATAGAAAGTATTCAACCTTTTTGATTCAGAAAGAGCTGGTGTTATCACTTTGAAGGATCTCAGAAAAGTAGCTAAAGAATTAGGAGAAACTATGGATGATTCTGAATTATAAGAGATGATTGATAGAGCTGATTCTGATGGAGATGCTTAAGTGACCTTTGAAGATTTCTACAATATAATGACCAAAAAGACATTTGCATGATTGAAATCATTAATAATAAATAAAAATAAACAAACATTTTCTCTATAAATCTCAATCTTATTTTTTCTATTAGATTCTTATTTACTGAATTTTATTATTAAGATATTTTAAACTCTTAGAATTTTACTTTTTTCATATTAATAAATTACTTATTTTAAGGATTCATCTTAAAGATGAAAATAGTTATACTTATAATATATTAAAATTGATTTATAATAATATTTTAATATAATAGATTCTTTTGAGATATTTGATATTTTTAATTAAATTAAATCTATACTACCTTATAATCTCATTACTTGTAATTCCTTTAGGAATATAAAGATTCTAATATTGTTTTATTTAATTCATTTTATAAATTATTTTCAATACTTGACTATTTTAAGGTATTTACTTATAAATTGAATTAAATAATTTATTTTATTAAGAAATTTTGGATTATTGTTAAAATTACTTATTTTCTCTGAATATATAAAATCCTTTATTAGTATCTATAAGATTATCCTTATTTTTAATATAATAATCTAAATAACTAACTTTAATAAATATTATTTTATATAGAATAAGGGAAATGAAAAATATAATACTTTAAAATATCATTACCTTTAGTTTTCAAAATTTTTATAATTAAATAAGAAAATTTGAATTTTGTATGAAATAATTATATCCATATATTATGAAATTTAGATAAGTAGGTAAACTGTATTTCTTAAAATGGTTCTTACATTATAATATTTCAATAGAAAAGGTTTATAATTTTCATTTATTATTATCAAAAGTGATATTTAGAGTATTAATAAATTATAACATTTATTAATTGATTTTATATCTGTATAAACTTGATAGATAAATAAGTATTAATATATTTTCATTATTATAATGGCCTTTGTATTTTAAGCTGAAAGAGGAGATATACTATAATAAAGTGGTGTTTCACAAGACGTATGATGAAATTGAAAAGCTGTAGATTGGACCTGGTAGCTATATAACACATGAATATTATAAGGTAAAATAAGGAAATGCTCCTTTTGATTCGTCTGTTAGTAGGTGTGAAAGAATTAAGAATGAGATAATTCCTGGACCTGGAAGTTATTATTAAGAATATGATGAGTATTATATTGATATTTAACTTATTAAGCAACTATTATGGGTAATAACTATCTCCAAAATTCATGAAATTAACTAATAAAAAATAACAATCATTTATATTTGCATCATCATCTAAACGTTTTGAACAACCAAAAACATTTATGACTCCAGGGTAATTAAAATATTATATTATTTAGGCCTGGATCATATGAAACAGATATAATATAAAACAAACCAATTCAGTAATAATTTACATCCTAAAATTAATTGGAAATTTTGAAAAGTTTAAATAGATATTAATCAATTCCTTCTATTCCAACTGATAATTAAGTTTATGGTTATACAGAAAAAGGAGGTATTTATATTTATTAAATTTATTAGCTCATGATTTGGAATCTAATAAAAATCCAGAACATACATATTCAGGAATTAAATAGGATACTGTTGGGCCTGGAAAGTATTAAATTAAAGATACATTTGAATAAAATAAAAATAAAGGTGTTTGTTGGCATAAATCAAAAATTCCTAGATTAGAACCATTAATATCAAAAGATAGAAATTAGAGTGTTGGTCCTGGTAGTTATGATTGCAATAGATCAATCACTCCAATATATAAATTATGTCCATCAGGAAATTTTAAATCTAAATCTAGTAGAACTTTTGATAATACAAAAGGTGAAAAATAAAAATAATTTATGAAAATCTATTTTGAAAAACAAAAAGAAAAATTAATGAGAAATCATGGATACTCTGATTTAGAAGATGAAGAATTTTAATATTCTGATGTGAATTATAATTTAATATTTTTAGATAACTACTCCTGGTCCTGGACATTATTTTGGTAATACTTCTACATAATCAGTATCATCTAAAAATTCTTAATAATCAATTAAATAAGGATATAATTGTTTTGGATCTAGATCTAAAAGATTTTAAGAATAAAAAGTTCATTATCATATAGGACCAGGAGAATATTAATTAGAAACAGAAATAGTAAAATAAAATATAGTTTAACCTCCATTTTATTCATCTAATACACGTTTTGAAGAGAAATATTATGGTTAATTACCAGGTCCATAAACATATGATCCTAAAATAACTGTATATAATAGTTATTATATTAAATTAGTTAGCAGAGAAATTAATAAAAAAATTAGAATGGACTCCAATAGGAAATTTTGGTATAAATGAATCAAGATTTAAGGAAGAATATAATCAAATACCAGGACCAGGAACATATGAATTAAATAATAAGGTATAAAAAGGGATTAATTCAATATTTAAATCAAAAACTAAAAGAGTTAGTTCTCCTAAATAAAAAATAGATAATTTTCCAGCTCCTGGATCTTATGATGTTAAAAATAATACTATAGAATATGAATTAAAAAAAAATGAGGATGAAAATTAAGAACTGAAATAATAGAAATAAGCATTTGGTTCATCTATGCCTAGATTTATTAGTAGGAAAAATAAACATGATAGAGTATAAAGAGTTTTTGAAGATGAAGAAGAAGAAGAAGAATTAGAAAAATTACATAATACTTCAGGTTTATTAAAAAAGAAATAAAATATTTAAGTTTCTTTTAATGTTAGGGTAAAAATATTATATGAATATAGGAAAATAGATTTTAAACTAAAAAAAATGATACATAAAAATTAGGTCCAGGAGAATATTATAGTCCAAATAGTAAAAATTGGGATAAAAGAAGTTTTAATGTGTTATTTTAAAAAATATGAAATTTAATTATTAATTATAATTTTGTATTCAAATTTGAATATATAAACAAATTGAATTCATTTTTTGAATCATCATAATTTTTTAAAGAATTTAAAGTCAGATTTGGTGTGTTAATGTAATCTTATAGAAGATTTAACAGAATCAGTAATTTTAAATTATTTTGATATTGAAATACTGGTTTTACATTTATTTGAATGTTAACTAAAATAAGTATAATTATAATAAACATACCTATTTGTATTAAAAATCTAAATTTATAAAGGAGATAATAATTTTGATAAGGCATTTTCTTTGACTGTTCTTTATGTAAATGAACCTATTTGTTTTGGTAGTTATTTTATATTTATTCTTGGTGAAGATTGAATTTAAGATGGTTATTAATATAGGGATTATTATTTAGTTGATTTATTTGAACTTATTGTTTATTAAGTAATTTATGTAGATTATTAATTAATCATCTTTCTTGATAAAACCTATTTAATTGTTTTCTATGATAATCCAATAGGTAATTTTAGAGATACTGAGTTAGGCGTTTATATAATGTGATGCATCTATTTATTTTATTTCTTTTCAATAAGATATTTAAGAAATTTATCTAATTGATCTTATTCTCTATTAGAAGGCAATAATTGTAGATCTCCAACATTTAATTTAATGGAATTAAGTTTAGTTTGTATTTTATCAATTGTTCTTGATACTTCAGTAATATCATTTAAGATATTACTATATTGTCTCCCAGATTTTTATGTAGTTGTTTCATCTGGTTCTTCTCCAACTATTTTCTTTTTAGGTTAATTTGGATTTGATTTATTCTCTTTTTCAATCATTCTCTTAATTCTAAAATATTCAATTCTTCTTTTCTTATCATGATAACTACAATAATTAAACTCATATGTTTACCTACTCATAATGTCAGCTAATTTATGTAAGAAGCATCTTGGAATCTCATTATGGTACTTATAATATTCAGTTAATAATGTAAGTTTAGTAGCTATTTCATCTAAAATATTGAAAAAATATATACGAATATTGTATGTTCTTCTTAAATATTCACTTTGTTCATTACAATTAGTTTCATAATGAAAATTAATCACATGTGGTAATCTAGCATTTTCAATGTATTCATTTAAAGACTTTGTATAATAATATGTATCCTATTAAGAATACTTGTAAGCCAAACTTTATTGAAGGTCTATCTTGGATAATAAATTATTGCTCATTTATATATTTAATACAAAAATATAAAATTATACAAATATTTCAGCATTATTATTCATTATCTTAAGATCTCAGTAAATCTTATTCAATTATTGTTTCATCAATATTATATCTACTATTCTAATGTTAATTGTACAAATAATTAAATAATAACATATAAAAGAGATGAAAAATAAATTAATATAAACTTATCTCACATATGTTAAGATCACATTTTTATCTTTATTTATTAAAATCTAATTATCCTAATTTAATCTTCTTTTTTTAATTATCTAATACTATCTAGTGTTCACTATTTTTGTTTTTTAATTGTTAAACTTGATATGCAGCAATAAGATCATCTATTAATGAGGATATTTAAATTATTCATGTCTATTTAACTGTTAATGGTTATCCTAGGCAATTATTGATTGATTTATATGAAAATATTTTATTGTTTCAAAATAAATTTTTACTTCATTAAATAAATATTATAGTATAAAACAACAAATTTATTTTGAATCAATAAAATATATTTTAAACTCTAAATATATAAAATAATAGGAATCCTTTGAAATTTTCATTTTTTACCTTATTCAACCCTAAATTATTAATAAGTGATTTATTCTAACTCTATATTCAATAATTACAATTAGGGAATAATAAAGAATTGATATGATAATTTGTTTAAGATTTTCATAATCTTATGGATACTTTAAAATTACTTAGCAAGTTTATTCCTGTCCTATGGGCCACTCTATTTTTGACAAAATAATCATTATTTTTCCAAAATCAGAAGAAAAAATTCGAGAAAGTTATTAAACATAAACTTTATAGATTAGGACCTGATTATAAATATTTTTAAAAGGCATTTTAAATTTGATCATTGCATTTTGAACTAATGTTCTAAAGTAAAAGTGAGAAAGGATTATAAATAGCTTTTTGAATAGCTAATTTTATCTCATTTTTTAATAAGCTAATAGGCTATTTTTCGTTTGCATTCCAAGTAATGACAAAATAAATTATTGGCATTTCTTAAAAAATATTTTAATTTAAGAATGGATAAAGTAGATTAGTAAATTAAAAGGAAGAATTTATCATATTTCCAATCACATTAATTAGATCTCTTCGAAAATGGATATCAAACAAAGAATCATCCTTTGGAAAATATACATAAACCCACATGTGACCTATTCGATATTAGCTACTTTAAAACTCCAAAGGGTTATCTAATAAAACTTTAAAGAAGGTCCTTAAAGACAAGAACCAGATTGCCAAAATTGACACCAAATACCATTATTGAAATTTTAATCAAAATTAACTGGAATAGTCAGGTACCTTAAAACCTCATTGAATTATAATAACAAATAAAATATGCAAGAAGAAAAGCAGAGTTGTCTAGATGAAAAAACGAATAGAACAAGCGATAACCGAGATCAATCAAAATATCAGAGAATGAAAAATTTAATGTGTATTTAGTTCCTTAACAGGACATTATAATATAATATTCATAATAATAATAATTATCATCATTATACTATGAATAATATTAATTTTATTTTGGGATTAAATCTTTTATGTTTGGTCACATATAAAATTTAGTACGATTTTATAATTTAAATATATTTTAGAAATGCCTTAAAATACTAGGAAATGTCAGTAATGTATCTAATTTTAAATATCATTACTTTGAATGCAAACTATAGATTTATGAAGAAATTAATAAAGCCTAATAGCTTATGGAAATTTTTTGAGAGTCTAATATCTTAAGAAATTAGCCAAAGCAAAAATTATTTCTTAAAATTAACTAGCCAAACTCAATTAAAAATGAAAATGGAATCTTTTGTGGCTTTCTAAAACTTATTTAAAAATTTTTAACACTTTGGCTATATAAATTTGTAAAACTAATTACATTATATAAGTTATTTATTCTTTAATATAATTAGTTAATAAATCTAAAAAATGAATATCTGATTCAAGTAGTAATCGTAAGAAACATAAGAAAAAGCATCATTATCAAAATTAGGATGTGGAATAAGAACATATCAAGAAGTAAGAAGAACCATAAATAAATTAATAAGAAACAATAAAAGAAAATCTATGTTTTGAGGTATCTGAGATATTAGCCTAATATGCAGAAAATGCTTAAGGTAATGGTAAGGTATTAAAGTTTACAATACCTTTTGATGCTAAAGTTCCATCATCTAATTTACAAATATTTCTATATCAAAGGACACAATCCTTTTGAATATTTTATATTAATTTTAAAAGCTTATATTGATCTAAAAGGAAGTTTGTATTTCTGATTAAAAAAGATAAAGATATCGTTAAAATATAAGTTGAAAATAAATCAGTTTCTAAATAACATTGTGTTATATAATTAAGAGAAATAAAGAGAGTAAATAGTTTAAGAGAAGTATTATCCTATGAGAAATCATATGTAATAGATTTGGATAGCACAAATGGAACCTAACTAAATGAGTAGCAATTAGAGTCGGTAAGGTTTTATTCATTATTAGAGGAAAATATATTGATATTTGGGAAAATCGACAGAGAATTTGTACTTATAAAATCATGATATTTATTATTATCAACTTATTCAAAATACACTATCCCATTCAGCATCCTTAGCACTAGCTAATACTTTCTTTTATCCTTAAGTGTCTTTCTATATTTAATCATGAGCTGTAATTCCTTTTTATTATGCACTCTGTATTTAAGCTGAAGTCATAACCTTATCCTTTCCTGGCAACAATGGTGCCTTCAAACTCTTAATCAATAATTTCTCCTAGAATATGATTAAATATCATGAATACCCAATCAAAATCTTTAAACCAAACATGAGATTTCAGAGTTGAATAGGATCCTCCCAATCTGACTTCTGGAATCTTATTCATTAATTATTCTATAAATGTTTTTGCAGATTTATCAGACATGAAATGTGGATAACTTATTGGTTTCTTTATGATTTCCTTATAAATTTCAAATGGATCTTCAGCTTCTTCTCCAAATGGTAAACCACCACATATAAATTCATATAGACATACTCCTACACTCCATAAGTCAGCAAAGTAACCATAACCTTTACCTGAAATTACTTCTGGTGCCATATAATGAGGAGTTCCAATAATAGTAAATGTTTTAGTTGATTCTATAATAATATTTAATGATTATACATTAATTCTTAAAAGACTTAGCTGTTCCCATATCTATTAATTTGAGATATCCTTTATCATCAACCATAAGATTTTCTGGTTTTATATCTCTATACACAATACTATGTTAAGTATGTAGATATTCCATTTATAATATCATTTATGAAGCATAAAATTGAGCATCATATTTGCTTAACAATCCTAAAATAATTCATAATATTACCAATAACTCTGATAGCATCAAATAATTCCATTCCTGCAATGTATTCTGTTAAAAAATAAATATTTTCATTATCTTTATAGGATCTATAAAATTTAAGGATGAATGGGTTATCCATCAATTCTAATACTGCTTTTTCTTATTATATATGTTTTTATATTCCAAATTAGAGAACATGTGCTCTTGTAACATATTTAAGAGCAAATAAAGTGTCTAATTCTTTGAATTTACATAAATAAACAGATCCAAATTAACCAGAACCTAATTTATTTAAATAGATTAAATTTTTGAATGGTTAACTTTTAATTTATTCTTCATGAGCATTTGATTTTTCTTATTGTTATGCTTTACCTTATTATATTTTTTCAACACTTCCTTATTATTTTCTAAATAATTCATAATCTATTAATGCTACATGTCCATCTGATTCAATAGATACAGTTTTTAAATGAGTAGTACCTGATAATTTATCTTATAATGAATCTTCAAATAGAATTGATCCTTTAACAAATTTAACTTTGTTTTCATCAGCAGCATCACTATCTAAAAGTATGACTAATTGACCAACTTTATCTCCTTTTTAAATAATTTTAGAATTTGCATTAAATTTTTTTACTTATACACCTTCTAATAATTTATCTTAATAAGTATGTGGAGTTTTGCTAAATAATTTAGATGAATTTAAAGCCCATTTGCATATATTTTTATATATAATAGTTTAAACTTAATCTCCTAAGATTTATTAAATCATATCTTTTCCTAATGCCAATACTTTAGTATCCTTTTAAACTGCTTTAATAGTCATCATTCTAACTTAATGTTCTTATTTAAGAGCAGATTCACCAAATGAATCACTAGGATTGAGTACAGATATTTATTATCCATCTTTATTGAATACTCCACATTGTCCTTCTACTATTATATAAAAAGAACTAGCCTAATCTCCTTCATTTACTATAACTTCATTAGCATTAAATTTTTATGATATCAAGACTCCAGCTACAGCATCTTTCTATTCTCGTGTTAATTAATCTAAAATTTAAATTTGAATTATTACTAAAGAATTTAACACTTTCTAAATATTTACGATTCTTATCTTACTCGCTTCTCATTATGGTTTCAACACTTTTTCTAAATGTATGTCTGTCAATTCCCCAAAGGTAACATTCTTCTACTGCCATACAAGTTGCAGATCTTGGAGCATTGTACAATAATGCTAATTCACCAAATCCTTATCCTGCTGTTATTTCTTTTCGTGGTACATTATCAACTATAACATTTATCTTTCCTTTTTCTAAAATAAAAAATGAGCTAGCTCCATCTCCTTAACGAATGATTGTTTAGCCAACTGATAATTTACAATAAAACATGCTATGAGCTAATTAAGTCCTTTAATTAGCATATTAACATTTACAATTATGTTTCAGTCATTGAGCTAAATACAAAATGACCTTAAAAACATTTAATGATAAATTTAATATCATCTAATGTTTAATTCTTTTGTTCAGGATGGAATGTTTCAAAGATTTATCCTAACCCACTTTCCTGAGTTGGCTTTATTGCAATATTACGTTTAGACACTCTTCTTATTAATTGAGCTTATGGTGGTTGAGCTATTTATTATTAAACATTCTTATCAATTCCAAATTCTTAAACAGATGACTTCTAATTCCAGTGGTTTTGATCCATAATAATAATTATTATTTATTACAAAAATATCTATTTTTCATTTATGATATTGATTTTATATTTAATTGGCTTAATTACTTGAAATCATAACAATTTCAAACATAGCAATTTACGTCATTATTTATTATAATGAAATCTCTAATTTTTCTATCTTTGTTGATATACTTAATAGCAACCTAAGAGAATTGTAGATTTGCATTTGAATACACTCAAAAGGAATTATAATCAGATCCAAAGAAAGTCTAAGAGTTTCTATCTAAAGTAATGAAATGGGAATCAAACTTTGCTAAAGATTTAGGAATTGATAAAAAATCAGGTCTAACTTTAGATGGTTAATAATTGGATGTAAATACTGGTATGCCTTATGGTAAACCACATTAATTCACTGCCTCATCAAAAGAATCAATCCATTTGGCATTAATTGGATTAGCTTTATCTAATAATGAATATGCCAAATAGATTTATTCTGAAGAAGAAGCTTTAGACTTATTGAATAGAAAGATCAATACATATGAATAGTTTGACAAGGATTATCCAGGTTATGGAGGATTCTTACCATGGGTAGCTGTAAATGATGGTGTCGTCACTCCAACTTGGGATTGGACTGATGGAGTACCTTCATTAGATAATGGATAATTATTTTGGGCTGCTTATGCAGTTGTATCTGTATTGGAAACATGGTATTCAGATTAAGAAGAATTAATTGGAAGATATACTAGATTCTATTAGAAAATGGCAAATAATTCTATAACAATATTCTATGAAGGAAATGGATTAATAAGAGCAGTTACTAGAATTTAAGATATTAAAGCAAGTGTAGAAAATAATAAATATACAAACAGATAAACAGATTGTACTAATTTTAGAAGTCCATGTTATTTGGATGATCCATATGAAGGAGAATTATTTGCATGGATGATGTATTTTTATGCTCCATGGAAAGATACAACAGAAAGAGAGAAAATTTGGGTAGCAAAGAAATCTAAATTATAAGTAGTTGATTATAAAGTTGCTGGATTGAATAAATATATTTCAGTTTAAAGAGGATGGTGGTTTTCAGCACATGAATAATGGAAATATTTATTCTTACCTTATACTCATGATTAAATCTAATTAAATTTATTGATAAATGGTGAGAAAGTACGTACATGGGATGCTAGAAATAATGAAAAACCTGGTATGTTTGCTTCAATTACTAGCAATATTACAAAAAATGAAGATCCTGTAGATTATTATAGTGCTTGTGGAATTTAAGAAGTTTCATTTATTCCTGTATCCTATAGACATTTAGTAACACCATATTCAACAATGACCATGTTTTTAGCAAATTAAGAAGTAGCAGTATCTTGGTATCACAATATGATATCTGGACCAGCTGGATAGAATGTATTCGGAAGTACTGAAGGAGTTGTTGTTGATGGAACTTCAGTAGCTCCTTTTGTTACATGGGATAGTAAAATGACTACAGTTTTAGGAATGGCAGGAGGAATCTTTGATTATACAGCTAAGAAATTGAATTCAGAAGGAAATTATAATCTTTTCTTAAAAGTATTGAATAGAGAATGGCAACAATCATTTTCTAATCTTAAAGGAGCTGATGTTCCTTTTGCATATCCAAATGTTACATTTCCATAAATCAAAAAAGATTTTACAACATGTACAAGAAAAACAGATATCATTATTGAATAATGAATTACATTTATATAATTTATAAATACATTCATTTCTTATATTATTAAAATGGATTAACAAAATCTGGAACTACAGAATTTAATTTTGTACTTGAACGAATAAATGTTGTTTTCCTTTTTAATTTCAAAGTCTTTTTTAAATGATCTAAAGTACTTTTTACTTTAGCAACAACTTTCATTGGTGTTATAGATTTTAATTTAGCATTTCTTCTTAATCTTAAGAAATTTTGTATATATAAAAATGGATACAACATAAATTTTCTCATTCTTTGTAGAATTGTAGTCTACCATCCAAAAATATCTTATTTTACAAATACTATAACATCTTCAGCATTTTATTTATTATAATAAGAATCAAAAGATGCTTTAATTTCAAAATCATCAAATTTCTATTAATTAAATGACCAATATAATGGTTCCAATTATGATAATGCTTTTTTACTTATACTATCATTTTCATTGATTTCTAAATTCCTTTATAATTAATGATACAAATTTGTTATATTATCTAACATATTATCATTGAAATCCTATATTTATTCAACTATTTAATCTCTCTTTTTTTTAAAATCAATAGATGTATTCATATCATTATCATCACTTGAATTATTTTAAAATCCACTATCATATTCTTTAATTTCATCTACTAATGGAATAGGTCTATCTCTACGATTTTTAGGACTTTTAGTTAATCCTATAAAACCTGATAAAATTGATTATTTTCTATTCTATAAAGCATTATTGAGATTTTATCTTAATTCATTTTTATTATTTAATTAATCATATTTATTTTAATTTTATTATTCATTTTTTCCTTATTATTATTATTATTATTATACAATATTATTTTAATCTTAAACTAATCTATTTACTCGAGAAGATCTTATATGTTAAGCTTAAAATATAGGAGCTGTTTAAGGTAATTTAAATGCTGGAGAACCTGCATCATCATCAATAGATGAATTAGAATCTGATCCACATTCAAAATTCAATAATATTTTAGTTTGATTGATAATTATTTATTAATTTTCATTCTAAAATACAGAAGCATATTATTAAGCCAAATCTTTCATTAATCTTGTATGCCATTCTTTTTATGATTTATCCAATCTTCTTATATAAGTAGATGAATTCTACTATTTAGACATACAATGTCTCTTAATTACAGCTTCTCTATTAGGAACATATTAAACTTATGGACAATTATTAAGTGAATGTTTAAAATTTAAACAAGCTGGACAAAATACACCATTTTCTAATGTTGATGGATGGTAACTTAAAGTAATAGCTTCCTTTAATTAACAATATTTCTAAAAATCTTAAGGATAATCTTTTAATGTTTCCATAAAATCAGATTTTGATAATATCAATAAACTAACATATCCTATTGCTTTAAAATGATCAACTTATGGATTATTTGTAATGAAATCTTTAACACAAAAGAATTATCCTTAATTAATTACAGCATTCATTTTAGATCTTTATTTTCTTTCAGGATGTTAATATACTATATATCCTTATTCAACAAAACATAAATGTTATTCATTTGAAAAATCTGTAGAAAAAGTATTTTAAGGTGGTACTATCTTTCTTTTAATAGACTTGAATAATGCATTACGTAATTCTTCACTAAAGTATTTCTATAGAAATTCTGATTTTTAGATGAAAACTTTATGTGCTTATTTATCTAATTCCTCTTTTAATTCATCAGATAATTATTCTAATAATGTTTATTCCATCTCTAAATCTACTTCATCATCTTCCTTCCATCTAAATGTTAAATACTCCTTTACTCTAAGAATATAATAATTATATATATACTAATGTTATAAACTATATGGAATCTTTCTTTAATTCATATATTTATTGATTACTCTCATTCTACGATTTCTTTCCACTTAATTCTATGTAATATCATCTATTATACTACCAATAAAATTTACACTATAAGATACCCATAAACCTATTTAAATAATATCAATATATACATGCACCCAATACAAATACCATAGTAACTATTTTCTCAATAGCATTTTTAGGTACCATATCACCATAACCTATAGTTAACATTGTAACTACAGCAAAATAGAGTGCCTATAAGTATTATTCTTCCCAATCTTTATTTTCTATTTCATTAAAACGAATCCATGAATCTTCAACTCTTATACTACTGAAATAAAACCATATGCAACTAAATAAATGTAAAATATAAAGCAATGTTAAAATGAATTTCAATAAACCAAATACTCCTCTCTATGGTCTAGTCAAATAAGAAATTTAATCACTTTTTGCAAATGTCTCATATACATATTTATGTTATCCTAAAATTATTAATAAAAATAAATTGGCATTTGTATTCATATCTGGAATAATCATGAATATTATTAAAATTAAAGATGTTGAGAAATCTGTAAGAAATTCCTTTTTTAATTGATGAACTACTAAATCCCATTTATCTTTTATTGCATATCCATTTTTATATGTTAATGTATTTATTCTAATTAAGAAATCAAGTTATAATATAAAGAGAATTACATATGTAATATATATTAGATTATTGAATAATATTTCTGGTTTAAATGCTATTTCTAAAGGTACCAGAATTAAAAGTAAAATTCTAAAAATTGAAGTAAAGAAATCCCAATACATTTTGAATAAAGATTCTGGTTATATTATAGGAATTTTATTGATAATTGCATTTAAACAATTAAAAAGCGGTTTACGAAGTTTCCTCAAATCCTCTTTAACTTATTCTAATGTTGTTGTATCCTTAATTTCTGTTTCTTTTTTCAATAAAGTCTACATCTTCTTTATATTGAACCCAGCTGATTTCATACGTTTAGAATGCATAAATATGTTTTGCCTATTATTTTATAGATATATCAATTTACTAATCAGATGCTTTATCTCCTATCAAATTAAAATGAGCCTCATTAAGACTACCCAATTACTTTCTATTTTATGATAGTTTCTCCACAAACCTTCCAATAAAAAACAAAGACATAAAACTAGATTCTGCATTTGTCTAACTTCTCCTTCTCTCAACTTATCTTCCATGAAAAACTGGTTCCTTTGGTGTCTAGATATTGGAGGCTAGAAAGTTCTCGTCATTATTTGATTCTGGAGATTTAGGACTATGCAAATATTTTGCTTCTAGACTTTTTGCACTTAATGTTCTGCTGGCTATCGGAGGCAATACTAAAGAAAATTCTTTTTTTGTCTCTCGCAAACACTAACCTAAGTATTATTATTCAAAGTCTTCATTTTATACTGCTCTCAATTCCACATCCTACTCAAAATCAAAACCACTCTAGAGATTTAACATTTAATTAATAAATCAAAATTCATAAATTGAGATTGTATATTATTTTTAAAACGAAAGAGCATTTCGAGAAGAAATATTTTATTCCAAAAACAAAAGATCATTTTCAAAAGAACTAAACAATAATTTTATAATATATTAATGATCACAGAACACCAAAATTTAGTAGTGAAGACGAGGGGTCTTAATAAAAATCTAATAAAATCTTCAATCTTATATGAATTATTATATACTTGAAGATTAAGTTACTCAAAAATAATAATCAAAGGAGATCAATTTTATCATTTTATATATATCTTATAGATTATTTTATAGAAAATTAGCGTTATATTTGACAAATTTTCATTCAATGCTCTGCTCTATTCTACAATTTAATACTTGGAAACATAAAGTTTAAACATATCAATTTTCCTAATTATTTTTATAATTTTTACATAAATTTTAATATTCTTTTTGATTATTGATCAATGTTAATAATAAAATTATATGAATATCAAAGGATGTTTTGTTAATTTAATTGTGACAAGAAGGAAGTGGAACTCAATAGTAATCTTAATTCAAACATAATAATTCTATTATTAAATTCTTTTAATAATATAAATATATGCTTATTTGTAATTAGCAGATTAAAGTAATAATAAACTGAATAACCCTAATTAATTCTAAACTCAAATCCATTTCTAACAAAAAAATATTTACTTAAAGTAAGATGATATTTGAAATTATTAGAGATGGTTAGGAGTAATAAATGAAAAATTTGAATAAAAACATTAGAAAAAAAAGAGAGAGTTTTCAACAATTCCAAAGTTCTTAAAGATAGGTAAGTTAATTATCTAAAGAGCATGAGCCCATATAAATACTTCTTTGTAAGATTATGGATTTCTATAATTTTGTTGATTTTTAATTTGATTCTTTTTAAGAATGAGTTTAAAGAAAAAGGTTCATCTCTTCAAACAGCAAATCAATCTACCCAATTCTTTTATTATATAGAAACTAACATTCACTTTTTGTTTAAATATCAAAATCAAAATTTCTTCATCTCTAATCTACTGAATTATTGAAGAAGGAACCTATTGATCATAATTTAATTCCTTTAAGTTATAGATGTAAACGAGAACTTATACATTTCATAGAAAAACTTAATTTTTTGAAACATGAGTATAATATAATGGAGTAATAAATTTGTATAAGTCACATTCAAGATGTAAAATGAACTTTAATAAAGAAAGTGGAAGGGATATTGATAAAACTAAACAGACAAAAAGAAAGAGATAATAAAATTGACCTATAATTATATGTTATATTATAAACCTAAACACTTAAAATCGGTTGTTCCTTCAATTTTTACAACTGAACCTCAAAGTGCAGCCGATTCCATTATTTTAGATTCTCGTATATTAAGTGAGGAAAAACTCAATCTAAATAACAAGTTTGCTTTACTTGATCAATTCAGCCATCGAGCCTTTAATATCAAAGAATATAATCTGACTCAAAGAGAAATACCAAGCAGAAAGAAACATTTTATTTAGAATAATAAATTGGATGTTTGGGGTGAAACAACTTTGACTCTCTTTAGAAATCAATTCTTATATACATCAATAGATATTCATGAGAAATATTCACCTGTAGTCTTATTCATATATGTAAAAAAAGGTGATCCTAATACTAAAATGAGATTGTTTTGTTCAGTCAGATTTTAATAACCCAACCGTTTCAATGCAGAGATCGAAACTTATGGTCGAGTACTTAAATATCACTCAAGAGATGGCACAACTTTTTATGATCCTACATTATATGTTGCTATCTTAGCACATAATGATGTAGAAATTAGTATCAAAAATGAATTTGCCAAACCTCCAATACCTAGAAAAATCCCTTAAATTAAAAAAAAAGATGAACAAAATTTAGATTTTGAAGAATTAACAGAATAAATAATTCGAAAAAGAAAATTAAAATAGAAATCATTAGATTTTATTAATCTTAATAGATCATTGATAAGAAAATAGAAGATTGAATCTCCTTGCAATACTGAAAGATTAAGAGAAATAAAATTTAAATAGACAACAATATAAAAAGAATAAAACTTAAAACGTATTGCTTAGAATGCATTACATGATGTTGCCAAAGAAATTAGATAAAAATAAATGAATATTTAAATCAAGTAATCTGCTTTACTTATAAATATAGATAAATGCATAAAGAATGGATTTGTAAGAAATGGATTTAGGTTGTAATTTTAATTAATTACATAATACCATCAATAAGTAATTATATTAAAGTACAAAAACGCATATCAGAAAAAAATATGAGGAAATAAATTATGACAATGTAATTTATATAGAAAATTAAAAATAATATTTAACATTAAGGACCAAAAATAAAATTAAGAACTTTATTAATTTGTAAAATGAGTATGCAGATTTGTATACATAGTCAATAGAATAAAATTAAGTAGAAGAGTAACTAAATTATTGTTGAAATTTTAAGATAAAATATTAGAAGCTATTATACTGTTACAAAAGGCTTACATACTGTTAATCTAAGTAATTGATTATTTGGATTTAGTTAAAAAATGTATTAACATGCTTGTTCGACATAAGAATAAAAGGTTGGAATTCATGTAATAGATGAAGATAGCCATATTCCATCAATGTAAACAAATCTATAATGAAATTTTGAAGATTAAATAGTAAACAATCTAACAATTACCTTTATAATAATAGTAGTAATAAGAAAAGAATAAAAATAAAAGAGATCCACTTCATTATTTAATTCATGATTAGTATAGAATTTATTATTATCATTTTAATAGATAATTTATAATGTTTATATATAAGAAATTATTGACTAATGTGTTACAGAAATGGAATTAAGATTTTGATGCTTTTCGAAAAGTATATCATGAAAGTCAAAAAAAAGGATTAGCTATATTATTGAGACCATTACCTTTAGAAATACCATAAGAAGATATTATTAATAACTATATTGTAGAGGAATTGGATCGTAGAGGATTGATAAATTATTAATATTATCCGTTAAATTAATGAATTCTCCTAGAGCAGAAACTCTGGATTTAGAATTAAGTGACACTATCAATAAGATCTATAGTGGTTGTTAGAAGATCAATGATAAACATCTGAAAATAAGGATATTGTAATGGTTAGATAAAGTGAGAACACCAACACACAATTTTATTTGGAAATAGAATTCTTTATTTTATGCTCGTGTTTTATTAGAAATGACTTTAGAAAAATAATTAGATAAACCTTTTAGAGGTGTACCTCCAGATGGTCCATTACCTAGATTAGATAAATTTGATGTTGTAAATGATTTTTGATTTAATTATAAGCCTCAATAAGTTTGGTAGAAACTCAAATAATTTTAGTAACCATAATCTCCTAGAAAACCATTAGGAATGATTTTAAATAGAAATATGACTCCAAAATTAAAGACTGAACCTTGTTAATACAAATGCAATAAATTTCATAATAGTCAGAAATCTCAAAAGTGGGATTAAATCAAAGAGACTTTAGAAGGAGCTAATAAAAATATGCAAGAATTTAAAGAATTTTTAGAAAATTTATAAACTTAAAAACTATCTCTTTGAATTATTAATGTTATTTATTATTTTATAAATCCTATTGAGTTAAGCATAACAAAACTAAACTAATTCTCTTTACTTTTTCAATTAATCTGCACTTGAAATTTAAGTAACACTATATTCACACATAAATCAACCTTTTATTTTGGCATCTTCCAATAAAAAATTTGAAAATATATTTTATGTAGAAGGATAAGATAAAATATAGTCTTTAAATTATGATCATGAATCATTCATTACAAATAATGATATTCATGTAATATTTACAGAACCTACAATGGATTTATACATTTATGCTGGCTACTTAAATTAATCATATAATCAATACTCTAATTTCACAATCCTAATCAAAAATCAATCTGGAGAATGTCCATCTATTTGTATTCAATAAGGTAATACATGTAATTCAATTAACAAGTAGTGTTTATGTAAATCTGGCTATTTTGGAAAATATTGTTAACTCTAAAGAAAAATAGCAGTTTTATAAATCCAATATGACATCATCATTAAACCACTTTAATGGATCTTTATTGGTTTTGAAACAAAATAATTGAATTCTAATGATACTTTAAAATTAAGAATTCGTGATCAATCATCTGAAATGTTAATGGGATTGGGAATGTAAGGAATAGAAAATCATGAAGTTCCTAATATTCATTATGATGCATATATTATTCCAAAGAAAATACAATAATAAATTTACTAATTAAAAGGTGATTTAATTTATTATCAATCTATGTGTATGAATTGTACATTTTTAAATATTGGATTTTACAATTAACATTCTTATCCAATATTATTTTATTTTGAATTATTTGAAAAAGAATAACCAAAAGATAATGATCCATATCATTTATAGATCATATTATAATCTATTTTTATAACTTGTTTCATATTGATTACTTATTTAATATTTAGAAAAATAAAATAAAAATAATAAAGAGAATAAATTAGATTAGTATAAAGAGAATTTAGAGGAAATAGAAGAAGAAGAAGAATATAATAATAATAAAGTGATGATATATAAAAAGGATTTAATTTAGATTTTATCTAAACATATTTTCCTTAATTTTATTATTTAGATTTAATAGATAAATATCCTTAATTAAGTTAATTTGTTGAATGTGTAGTTTGTTTAGAATCTATGGCTCCTCCATAATAAGGTAAATTAACAGAAAGAGATCATATAGATCATTGTTCATTAACTCCATGTTATCATCTATTTCATTAACATTGTTTATTTAAATGGTTATAGACTTAAAAATGTTGTCCTTTATGTCGTAAAGAATTTATAGAATAAGACATAAAAAATAAACCTTGGATTAGTTTTAATAATGATATTAGTTTAAGAGAAACTAGTAGAGCTAATCCATTTGTTTAGAGAATGAAAACAAGAAGTGAAAATACATAATAATCTGATATTCCTTTAATGGTAGATACTGAAAATGTAGAAACTTAACCTAATAAAGATATTGTTGTTGTAAATATTGCTTAAAAGAGTGCAAGAGATTTGATTATAAGATGAATTTATATTATAATTTTTAACAACTTTTTTTTTCAAAGTAAATGCCTCCATTTACTCCAGATGCGCGTAATTTAGGTGGTAGGAATTTAATATCTTAATAAATATGGAATCATTTACAATAACTAAAAGAAATATCATAACAAATACCTTAACTTTTGATATCACCACGCAAAATTCCAAATTCACCTAAATAAAGTATAGAACCTTTAAATTGCAAAAGAATGAATCGAAAATAAGACTATTTACTCTGTCCAACTTACTTATTTAGACGGAAAACAGTTTCTGAAAGTTTTACATCATTAAGTCCTAAACATATTCAAGATGAAACACAATTACTTTTCTAAGAACCATTATTAAGAAGATAAAAGAATATGAAATCACCATAAAAGATCTTTCCCTTCAGTACTATTTAATTAGGAGCATTATATAGAGTTAAAGCTAACGATATAAAGATTAATAAAAATTAAGATCTCATGTAATATTGTCTCTAATAATAGATAATGGAATGAAGTAGAATAAGAAGTTAAGGATTTGAATAATAACTATGATGAATTACTAATCCAGATTCAATAAATCATTATAGATTTTGGGATATTTAGTGCATAAGATTATTAGATTCTAATCTAGATGATCTTACGTATCAAACCTCAAATTCCCAAAATGGACTTACTCAATATATTTAATGAATTGATTATTAAGCAATAATTATAACTGTCTTGATCATTAATTAATGGGAACATGTTAATAATGCAAATCGTATGTTGAAATCGGCAATCTCACTATCATTGATTAACTTAGCAATGATTTCATAGTAGTGTAAGACGATTATTAGCATCCTTTGTATGGCTAAGTCAATATACTAGAGTATAAGGAACCCAAGAAATTTGATTTTAAATTAGTACATAAACTTATTACATTTGTAGAGAGAGAAGACTTTCAATAAGCATTACAATATTATGAAGCTAAATTTTATGGGTTCAATCATCCCAATCTTTTAATTATACATGGTATCTCATCTTAATCTTACTTTAGCAATGTAAAATAGATAGATAGATCAATTTTTTAATACACAATACAAATTATCACTCTTTTTAGATTACTATGAAACTACTCTTGCTTAAGAATTAGTATATAGAAAAAAAATATATTTTGAAGAAAGTGAAATATTATTTTTTCTGGATTCCTTAATTGGTAGTTAAGCCTTTCTTTAATCTAAGGGTCATGCATTGTCCTCATTAAAATTTGATAAAATCTACCTTTCTAATTTGCTTAATGGAGCCATTGCATTAAAAGTTTAAAGTCCTTTATTTGATCTAAAAGATTAAGAAATGGAATTCAATACTTTATTTGATAAAATAATAAAAGGTGAGTAAGTTAAATTGCAAGAATATCCATATTTGAGTCCAGAATAATGGCAAATGATTCAGAATAAAAAATTGGAACATTATGATCTCTTTAAAAGCAATGTATTTGTTCTTGGTTTAGTAATAATAATATTTTATATTCTTTTAGATGACCTTAGAATTATGTTCTGTTCGTTAAAGTATTACCTTATATAAAGATTATATGATTGATTAAAACCTATTAAATGATTAGATTAATAAAGTAAAAGAACGTTATGGAGAAGTCTTACCATTACTTTTGGAGGCAATGTTATATTATGATCCAAAAGTGAGATGCGATTTTTTATAGTTAGATGATCTTTTGAATTTGTAATAATTATTAAATGGGAAAAGATTATCTCAAATTTGGACAACTGAAGATTTCTAATATAGTTTTATTGAGAAGAAAGTATTCAACAAAATATATATATATATAGGTTCATTTTACAACAAAATAACATTCACTTATTCATCCAGAAGTTTAATCATAATTATCAAATTAATCATTATTATAAAAAGGATCACATTTATCACTTAAATAAGTTTTATCAAAAAATTCAAAAGAATCTAAAGCATCAAGTGTATAATTATTAATTCATAATAAAAGTCATTTATTTAAAAGAAAGAATCATATTCACCTTAAACATAAAAAAAGAATTTGTTTAAAAAATTTGAAACAGAATAAGCTTCAAAAGGAGGCAGTAAGAAACTAATTACTTAAGATGGTTTTGGAGTTGAATCTTTATCTAATGGTCTAACATATGAAGGTATATTTTAGGGTGGTAAAAAGTAAGGATTAGGTAAGTTGATTAATGATGATAATGAGATTATTTATGAAGGATATTTCTTTGAAAACCAGTAAATTTTATATAAAATATAAGATAAGATTTCATCGTACAGGAGTACTCAAAAATTAAAATCCATAATAATTATCAACACCATTCAATTATAAAGATTTTAATAAGTTAGGAAATATGTGGATTAAATATGATGGAGATTTCAAATAAGGTAAATATGATGGATATGGTTAATTGACATTGTCTAATTAAGAAATCTATACTGGACTTTTTTAAAATGGAGAAATAAATGGAACTGGAGTATTCTTAACTTAGGATGGAAAATAAATTAAAGGTAAATGGATAAATAATATCTTTCAAGAAATATGAGTATATTAATTATATATATATATATATTGATCATAACTAAATTAAAAATAAAATTTAAATTTTCATTTTAATGAAATCATACCCCAAAATTCACTATTTGCTTTATGCCAAATAAATTACTCATCAACTTTATGACATGATTTCTCAACTAATAATGTTCCATCAATATCTCCACCTATAGTTGCTAATCCTAATAGATTAATTGCTTAATTTGCAATTAAAGATGATCCAATCATAATACCAACCCATTTCTTTAACATTAATTCTTCTGCTTTAATAAAATTTGCTATTGCACCTCTATAACCTGAAGATTTCTCTAATTTAACATTTACACCAGTCACAACTTTCTACAATTCTATAACATCTTATTATGTTTTAATAGATTCATCAGCATAAATTTCTATTTTTTATTCTTAATACTTTTCTTTAACTATATACCAAAATTCTTTATCAAAATTTAATGGGAAAGGTTATTCAATCATATATAAATAAGGTTTTATCTAAATCAATTCTGTATTTAATATATCTAAAAATTTGAGAGCTGTTTCAGGTTACCAACTACTATTGCAATCTATAGATAATAATCCATTGAAATTATGATTATCTTTTATTATCTTATCATATACTCTAATTAAAACATTTCTAATGTATTCAAGATCACCACCAACTTTAATTTTTATATTTGGTGTATATGGAAGACCAACATCCAACTATGAAATCACTTCATCTATATTTTCTAATAAAGATATTGTGTAAAAGTTTCTTTTATTTGGTATTTTTAATTTCTCATTGTTTTCATTTGATATAAATTATGATATTGATTTATTAGTCTTTTTGCAATACCAATCAATTAAAGCACATTCAAATAATGATTTTGATGCTAAATGAATAGGATCATTAGGAATTTAATCAAGTATTGATAATTATGAATTAAGAAATTCTTTTGCTTCTCCATCTTCCAATTTAAAATAAGGTGTTTATTTAAATTAATCAAATCCATCATACTTTTCTAATGGTTTAATTGATTAAAATATTTTAAAGAAAACTTCAATATCATTATAATCTGTAAAATAACAATTTTATTTTTTTGGAGGTAATCCTGCCTCTGCAATTCCAGTTATTCCTAAATAAGTTATTTCTAAATAAGCATTAGTTCTTTAAGTTGTTACACTATGATTAGTACCAAATGGATTCACAAGATTTAGAATGAAAGGTTATAATTTATACATATTATTAATATTAATAAGAAATACTATTTTTTTAAAACAATATTAATAATCTTTATATCATATACTAAATCATTCAAATGATTGTACAATATTTTTCCATTCTTACAATTCATTTGAGTTTAATTAAGATTATAATTTAATTTATTATGAATCTCGATTTCTTTAAAAATCAAAAAAAAGTTTAAAGAATTCATTTAATCCTGAATCCTTGGAAAATTTAAATGCTAAAATTGATATTTCTTATAGTGTCTTTAAAGTTGAATATTATCTTAAAGTCAAGCATGTAAATGGATCATTAGATAATATATAATTCGAAATTGTTGTAAATAGTTTTCTATTTTCTTTAACATATTTTATTATATATTAATTATTTATGCATTTCAACATTTATTCATCTTCTTAAGTTAATTATAATTCATTAAGATTAAAATTAATATCCTTTTTTTTTATCTTATCCTATAAATAATCTAAAACATTTAATAAAAACTATTTAATTTAATCATTTGTAATAAATTCTTAAATTTAAGAAATTTCACAAATTGCCTTTAATGTATCATTCCCATATTTCAAATCACTTAATACACTTTCAAATTCTACTCTTTTTTATGTTGATTCAATTATTAATGAAATTAATTCAGATGAAATAAAAATAACATTTTTTTTAAACATATTTGATATTTCACTTTCTAATTCATTTACAAATTTATATTGATATTAATTAGTTTATTTTTGTTTTATATTTCTTTTATTATCATCTTATAAAATTAATTTCAATCTAAATAATACTGTTAGTCCAAATTTAGAATGAAAAGATGCTTAAAATTTACTTATCATTTATAAGATTTATTATATAATTTTTTTAATTGCTAATACAATTTCAGGATTGATTGTTTAGGATTTAATGATTTCATTTTTTTCTTATTCTAATTCTTATAATAATTACTCTACAATTTAATAATTATTATCAAAATTTCCTTATTCATGAGGAAGTATCTATTTAAAAATAATTATTATTTTTTAATTTAAACTTTGTATCAATTATCCTAATTATTCAAGTTTATGATATTCATTAAAAAATGATTCATTATATTTCGATGTTTATAATAATTATTATATCATTGATTTATCTAAATCAGCCCATTTTTATTATGTTATTATTTTATCAAAATCAATTTGAAATTATGTATTAAAATTACCTAATATAAATTACTAAACATCTAATTTTACTAATAATTTCACATATTCAGTTGAAATTAATGATAAGAAATTGTTAAAACTTAATTATAAAACTGTATGATGGATAGATTTCAATTAATCTTTTGATGACTAAAAATCTCCAATTAAACCTTCACTCTCTATATTAACATAAAGCCCAAGTATATATGGGATGATATGTTCTACATTTTCTAATTTAGGAAATCTATGTTCAAGTTTGTTGATCATCATTTATTTTCTATACCTAAAACAGAATAACGGTAAAAAAATTACTCAATTTTTTCTAGAATTACTTATTTTATTGAAGTTGGTTAATTTAAACTGAGTGATCTTCTCAAAAGAGATGATTCTTTCAATATGGACTTTCTTTATACGAATTAATTTTGTATTTTTTCATCAGAATAAAATAAGTCTTATAGTAATTCTTTTGAATATACATTACCTTAATCTAATTCAATCAAATTTAATTAATAAGGGATATTGAATTAGGCTAAGTTTTTATCAATATAATAGTTTAAAGTTTATTGGATTTACTTGTCTATGATTTACTTTTAAACTTCGAGTACAATTTATATCGATTCATTTTTAGCTCCCTAAACTATTTGTTTGTTAGCATTTGTGCTTTCTTATTATTATTTAATTTCAAGATGCATCAAATTTGAATGGTTAAAATGAGCAAATAACTTATTTAATCCTATATTAACAAGTTTAGGTTGTGATCCTTAAAAATATTCAATTATGCAATCAATCTCTTATGCACATCCCAAAATTGATTCTAAATCCTTATATATCTTTGTAGACATTTCATTCTAATCATCAAAGATTTATGATGCTAATAAGCTCATTTAAAGATATTTTTATTTTAGTAAGAATTTCGGATTTGTTAATGATGTATTAAAAAATAAAATATTCTGTAGCATTTATTAGAAATATAAGATACAAAATATGTATTATAGAATATAATATATTATAACTATGAATTTATGTTTTATTCTATCTTAACTTAAGACTAGATCAAAATATTTCATTATACTTTAATATTATTTAAGACATTAATTAAAGTTTTTAATAAATTCTTTTATGATATTATTAATCTAATATATATATATATTAGACAAAAATATTTATTAATATAATATAATTATAGATATAATAAAGACAGACAGCTTTTTATTTAATACTTTTATTTATGTTATAAATTCCTTTTTCATCATCATAATTTATTTCCTCTCAAATTCTTTGATTTTTTAACTTTTTGATTGACTGCCAAAAAACTTGTTTCATATTGATCTAAATTTGAATCTAAAAATAATTATTTAATAATAATACTTCCTGTTCTCTTTTATTAATTTTTATTTGGTTTATAACTTGAGAATAATTCTTGGATTTCTTATTCAACTTCTTATTTTTTAGATACTCTTTCAACTTTGATCACTGGTTCCTCTGAGATTGATGATTCCAATTAAATTTCTGAACCTGATGCATGAGATAACATACTAGAAATTATATCATTTTTATTTTATGTCCAATCCAAATAGATTCTTTCAAATTCATAAGGAGTTAAATTATCTGATTTCTAATTGTCCTATGAAAATCTACCTTTTTTAATTTATAAGTCATTTTTAATCTTTTCCATAACTTCCTATTTTCTTTAATTTAATTCTTTTTCATAATCACTAACTGCTTAATTAACAGGTTTATCCAAATAATATCTTTCACCATCATTAATTTTATTATTTGAAACAGTTTAAGTCTTTTAATTTCTCAATAATTCTTCAATTTTCTATTGGAATTCTTTATCCTTACTTTTTTCATCTGTTTCTACTTCTTATTCAACTATATCAATCCTTTTCTTAATAATAACATCATCACTATTATGTATTTATCTAAGTTCTTCTACATTTTTTTTAATATCCTAATATATTTATTATTCTTATTCTCTTGTTTCAACTCTCTTATTAGTTGATGCTTCCAATTCATGAACTAATTCATTTACAATTTAATCAAATTATTCATCATGACTCATCTATTATTTCTCTTTTTATTTTTTATTAATAATTTATTAATGTAATTATTCTTCAAATTTACTTTATTTCTCACTTTATTCAATCTTTAAAGATTTATCCTATTATTCATTTTATTTTTTCTCTTCCTTAATCACTTTAATAGAATGATGCATATCTTTCTTTTCATTCTTCTCCTTAGTAACATCTTCCTTATTTTCTACAGTATGTTCATCCTCATCATTTTCAACACAATCTTATAAATCCTCAAGATTCTCAATAACTTCTGCTTCAGATTAAACTGCTAAATTGTTATCAGATTCAGTATCAGCAATTTAAGAATCATTATAGAAAACCTCAATGTTGTCTTCTTGAACTGTTCCTTCTCCATTTATATCATCATTTGTAATAATATTTTCAACTTCAACCTGTTCTTTTATTGAAATTTCTTTTTTCACCAATTATTTCTTCTTAATTTCAATTTAAGGTAAATCATCAATATTAATATCCTCTGTTGTATTAGTATTTTCTAAAGTAATTTCATTATCTTATTCATCAAGTTATTATTGAATTTCTTATTGGATTTACTATTCTGGTTATTGAGTAGATTATATTTCCGTTTCTGATTTAGTAGATTAAATTTCTGTTTCTGATTTAGTAACATTTTCTTATTAAGATTCAATTTATGGTTATGTATCATTAGTATTATTATTATCTGATTATTATTAATTTTATTAATTATTTTATTATTAAACATTTACTTTAGTTTCTTCTTATTAATCATTTACTTTAGTATCTACAACTTAATTATTTTATTCAACAACTACTTAATTGTCTTATTAATCTACTACTGAATTCTCATTTATTTAATTTTCAACTTAATTATCTATTTAATTTTAGACTACTGTCTCTTATTAATGTGAATTATCAATTTTAACTTCTTGATTAACTTCTACATTTTGTGGGATTTACTCTTATTTTTATTCTATAGTAGATTCCTACTTCTAAGATTCATCTTCAAATTATAGATCATAATCTTTATTAATATCAGATTCTTGATCATAATTAGAATAAGAATCACCAGTATCAACAATAACTCCATCACTTACAACAGCTTCATCATTAGATTAAACTTAACTTTCAAATATTTCTTCATTTTCTAATTCTAAATCTTCTTATTAAATTTCATCTTATAAGTTTTAAGATTAATTAATTGAAGAAGACTCAATTTAAGATTAATCAATTTAATCTTATAATTACTCTTATTCATTTTGATTATCAATTTAATAATAATCTTCACTATAATTATCATAATTCTCATCTGATTCCATATTTTAATTAGATTCAATTGTTTATTATTAAACTTATTCTTAAACTTCATTATTTTATTCAACTTAATTGTTTTATTAAATATCATCATTTTATTGAATAACTTTACTCTATTCAATTACTTATTCTTAAACAACAGGTTCAGATTTGACATTTGTCTATTCTTAAATAATTTAATCTAATTCATTATCTAAATCATCTAAATAGTAATCATCATCAGAAACAGTATTATCAATAATAGAATCATTATTAGTAACAATTGTTAAATATTATTGATCCTCCTTTGAAATTTCATTTTATTGTGTATCAATAACTTATGGTTCTTCTAAAATAGGTTAATCTAGACTAAGATTATCAAGTTCTTTTGCTAATTCATCCAATTATGATTGGAATTAATCAAAAGTAGTTCCATCATTATTTAAACTCTTATTTAAAATAACATCAGTTTCCAATTAATCATAATCCAATGTATAATCATTTTAAGCAATGTTATTCTTAGTAATTTAATTACCATTAATTTCAACTTAATCAGAAATCAAGGATTAAACATCAACAGCAGCTTCTCCCAAATTTTAATCTTAGATTATTCCAATTTCTTTTTCTGTAACATCTTTAATTGCATCAGTTATAATTTCAGTTTACATATTATTATCTGTATCTTCAACAATTATTGGAATTAAATCAGAACTATCATCAGAAAATATACTTAGATCAACTTTCTCAACTTCAGCTTCAACTTTTACTACTTCTCCAATTAATTATTATTCTGGATTCTTTATTTCTTATACTGATATTTCAGCATCTGTATCAAAATATGAAGTGTCTTTTATTACTATTACATCATCTGGATCTAAATTTGAAACATTCAAACTATATAATTTATTTTAAGGAGCTTTTTCTGATTCTTTCATATCATTAATGACTTCTTTCATTTTCTTAGTTAATTAATTCTTTTTAATCATAAAATCTGGTGCTTCAGATTATTTTTATTATTATTCACCTTTCTTATTTTTCTCTTAATTCACTGATTATTATTATTATTATTTTTCAATTTTATTTTAAACATCTGTTTTAGCATCTGATTTAACTTCTGATTTAACTTCTGTTTTAGCATCTGTTTTAACTTCTGTTTTATCTTCTGATTTAGATTCTGATTTAGCTTCTGATTTAACCTCTGATTTAACATCTGTTTTAACATCTACTTTAGCATCTGATTAAACATCTGTTTTAACATCTACTTTAGAATCTGATTAAACATCTGATTAAACATCTGTTTTAACATCTACTTTCATATCTGTGTTCTCTTAAGGATTTTATTCTTTATTTTCTTAAGTTTCTGTATTAACTTAAGCTTCATTATGATTATCTTATGCATGCACAGTATCTAATTCTTCGCCATCACATTATGTATTTTCTTCAATAGGTTAATCCTATTTATCATCATCAGTAGCTTTAGTCTTTTGACTTTAATTTTATTATTATTATGTTTCTGGATTATTCTAAGGCTATTCATCAGTTGAATCAGCTGGAGTGGCATCTTCTTCTCCTTAATCTGAATTTTTTGAATCAGATTCTATAGGTATAACCTTTACTTCTTGATCTGTTTTGACTACAATATCTGAATCATCAACTTTAAGATTATCAGTTTATTAACTGTTATCTTCACTCTATAAAATTGGTTAAGGTTCTATTTTAATATCTTAAATCACGATTTCCTTTTATGAATTATCATTATTTGATTATTTAGTTTCTTCTTAATTGTTTTCAACAGATATTTTATTAACATTATTATCATTCAATGTATTTAATTCTTATTTTTCTTAAGAAACTATTTCAGTAGATTCTTTTTATACTATATTCTCATTTTATTATTGTGATTCTGAATATTCAATATCAAAGGATGAAATACTTAAATCATTTTAATTTTCAATAGATTCTGCTTAAGTATCAATTTGATTTTGAGTCTAAGTTGAGATTTCATCTTAATTCTATTCAATTTTTAATTGTTGTTCAGATGAATCAACTTATTATTTATTTACATCTGTATTCTAAGTCTCAATTTAATTTCCAACAACTTCTTAAACGTTTTATATAATTTCAGTATTATCTTAAGTTTATATTTCTGTATCGTTATTTGCTATTAATGTATTTTAGACTTTTTATTATTAAATCTCTTAATTAGTATCTTATAATTCTTATATATCTTATTTTTATTAATCAACATTAGTATCATCTGGTTTGTGTATTTTACTTACAGAAACAGAAAACTTTTTTTATGTATTTTCATTTTATAAGTCTGCTTAATTTGTATTATCTTTAGCTTGGACATCATTATTTGAATTAGTGATAATATCATTAGCTGATTATTCAATTGATATATTGTCTTTTTTCTGTACTTTAATTGACATTTTCTTTTATTAGCTTTCTGATTCTTTATTTACTTAATTAGATTAGACTTAAGTATTTTAAGTATTTTCATTTGAATCTTCAGCTTTGATAAGTGGTTGTTATTCAATTTCTAATGATTTTTGTTACCAAATTTCAATGGATTAATCCTTTATTTCGTTCACTTCTATAGACCTACCTGTTTCAAGAAAACTTCTAAGCTGAATAGAATGCATTTATACATAGCAACATCTTTCATTACTTTATTTTCTAGTAATTCATCCTATCTATATGCATTATCAAGTTCTTCACTTGATTCCTATGAGTAAATTTAATTCGGTAATATAACTTTCACATTGATGGTTCCATGAATTTCTGTTGATTTCACTAACACCAATGTCAGCAGCAATATGCTAACAAATTTTAACATATTAAAAATAATATAATAAAAACGGATATATAACACTACAACATCTAATCTTTAATACTCTATTTTCTAAAGTATTCAAAAAAGTAACTAAATTGATTTCAATCGAATTTGAAACAATCCTTGATTGATCATAATAATAGTTCCCTATAAAAAACTATTTCATAAAAAAGTTAATACATTTATAATTAACAACATCAATTTATAACTAAATATTTAAGCATAATTTATAATATAAACTTATCATTCAAATACCTTTTCATTATCCTAAATAATCATTCTTCTTTTTATCTATGAATCTATCATATCCCAAATATTACTGTATATATATATATATTAAAAACTTTTCATATTAATTAATAACATACTAAATTCAATCATTTTTACATATATTATCAATTTGTTTATATGCAAGATTTATTTTTTTTAGTTGAATTAATTAACTTCAAATATGTATTGTATAATTATTCACTATTTAAAAGTAATTTAGAATCACTAATAGTTCAAATAATCTAATATAATATTTTTTATCTTAAAAATCGTTTACAATTATCTTTTTTAATGGATAATAAATAATTTTAAACTTTTTTACACTTATACACATTATTATTTGTAATTGTTTATTATAAATGATATTATATTTAGATATTTATGAATATTTAGATTCTTTTTCAAATCCACAAATAAGTGTTCATTTAAATGATTATACATATTTTTAATATAGTTATTAATTCTCATTATAAAATCTATGATTTTTTAGTAATTCTTATAAAACTATTAAATATTCAGCATCCTCACTTCTAATAATTATTATTAAAAATTAAGAATATATTTTATACAATCCTATTATTCTCATTGATCTTACTATTTAATTGTTTAATTAGGAAAAAGAATAAGTTTTTATACATATTGAAATAAGAAATAGGATTGTATAAAAAGTAAAATTTATATATATATATATATTCAACATAATTTAAATTTGTTATTAAATTCAAATTTTGTTAGAGATTTCTTTTCATTAATGATTGATAAATTCAGATGAGATATATAATTATTATTTGTAAATTTAATGATTTTGGGTACAGAAGTAAACGAATTTGTTTCAAATCGACAATAATCAAAAATTCATTATCTTTCTGAAGAGAACAAATCCTTATAGGAATACATCTAAGACCTTGAGAATGCTTTAAAATTAAATAAATAAGCCATGACTCTCACTTTAGAAGGCTTAAATAAAAGACCATAAGTATTATAGATTGACTATATAGTTGTAATCAGATAATAGCACAATGTCAACTGGTTATAATTATTAGAATTCTCAATTGGAGGGAGTTATCAAATTACTCAATGAGGAAAATTAAAAACTGATTAAAGGATTATCAAATTAATAAAGAATCACTCAATAATTATAAACTAAAATATTATTACAAGAATAGATATCTGAAGAATAATAAAATTATTATAAGGATTTGATAGGAGATTTAGAATATAAATTAATAGAATTGAAGAGAAACATTCACGATAAAGAATATGCAATCTAAGAATTGGAAAGAATGAAACCAATCTAAGAAAGAGAAGGTCAATTTGTCAAAATCATTGAAGTAGTAACACCTTCAGAATAGAACCTTAAATTACATGAGGAATTAGAAAATGTAAGAAATTTATTGAATAAAATCACATAAGAAGCATAAACAATAAGTGAAACTAATAATGCATTAAGAGAAGTAAATTATGTAAGTATTATTTTATATATAAGAATTTAAAAAGAGAAATATTTAAAATGAGAATTGTTTTGAGAAGCTAAATTAATTTTTAGAGTATGAAAGGTAAATTTGTTTAATTTTATATTAGATTTTGTATATAATGAATATATAGATAAAACGGATGATAATCTTTAAATAAATAGAGAAGTTTAAAATCAAAGAGGCAAATTAGAATAATTACATTAAGAATTATATGGAACATCTAGTTTAGGTTATGGATTTTCTCCTGAACCTTAATAACTCAAATACTTAAGCAAAAATGAACGTATGATTTATTAAGAGAAATTACATAAGATGGAAATGATGGTGAAAGGATTTAAGGAATTATTTGAAAAAGAGAAAAATGCTAATTTACATGTTAGGAAATTATATAATGATTTATTGGGAAAGTATGAATATATATTAGATACAAATGAATTAATAATAAAATCAAATAATTTAAAAGATGAAAGAAATGAAAAATAATAAATTGAATTATAATTCTATAAAAAATAAAGTTAGAGTTTGATGGAATAATTAAGAAATAGAAAAGCTTTTAATTCTATACCTTTAAATTAAGAATAAGATATTGCAGTAGGAGTATTTAGTCCTAGATATTAACAGAAATATTTGAATAATCAATCTTAATCATCATGTTCAAAAGTACAATAAACAGGACCTGATGATTTAGAAATTAAGAATTCTGCTAGATAATTGAATTAAAATAATTTCAATAAATTTATTATTAAACCATAATAAATTAATTCAGTTTAGAGTACTTGTTAAAAAAAATAGATTTAATAATTAGAAATTGATGATGATAGTTCATCTCTTGAATAGGATAGATACATTTGTTAAACTGCAAGAGGAGATAATCAAAAATTTAGTAAATTGACCTAACAACAATAATAAGGACAAATTTATTAATATTATGATATGACTAAATAAGAATGCATTGATTTTTTAATGTCGATGTTTAATGATTATTTTAAAAAATTTGATGTAAATTATTTTATTATATATCTATTAGTTAAGCAATATCAAAAAATAATAATTAATGAAACAAATGTAAAATAATGAATTCGATAAAAAATGTATTAAGAGATCTTATAGTAATCCCTTTCTATATTTTTCAAATGTCAAAGCAATCACTTTTAATCAACCACCAAAATAATCTGTTATTGCACTTGTATATTAATAATTCTATTTTAGGCAAAAAATGAAATTTAACAGTTATTGGCTGAATTATAAAGCAAAAAATAGAAATAAGTGTAGAATTAAGATGATGGTGTATTTAGTGTAGATGTATCCAAAATAGATTTGAAACAAAATAAAAGATAAATGTTTGTTAATGATTTAAGCTTTATTTCTAATTTAGATTAATAAGATTGATGAATGATTATAATTATATTTTTAATTAATTTAATTAATGTCTAAATAAGATGTTAAATCAACTTAATCTACTTTAGCTGAATCGATGCGTTTTAGTTAAGTACCACTAAGCCATTATAATTTCAGCATGAAGGTAGGCACAAGAATCTTGTAGGTGCAAATTGAAATTACATCTGATTCTCTCATCATTGAAGCCCTAGAAACAGCCATTGATTATTTTGTTCAAATTTATTATGATTAAGATATTAATGAAAAATTAGACAATTATGAAGTGTATTCTGCTGATCCATAAGGAAATCCATTATAAACTAAATTTAAAACAGATTAACTTCTTTAAGAAATTGATTGTTAAAATTTTGCATTAGTTGTTAAAAAAAAAGGAGCATTATTATCTATATTAAAATAACCACTTTAAAAAGAAATTAGAATTACTGATAAACTAGAAATTCCTAAATTTAGATATAATACTACCATTGCTAAATGATTACTATTATATATTCAATCAAAACTATAAAACTATATTCATATTTAATAAACTCTTTATTAACAAAGATTATGAATTATAATTAAATTACCATATTATTTACTACATAACATAATGGAATAATTATGTGTTATTACTTAATTACCTTGAACTTTATTATGAATTATTGTTTAGAATTGTTAATTAAGAGTGATCTGATTAAATATAGTATTGATAATTATTTGATTTTGAATCAAAATAATATGCTTTGGAAATTAATTACTTTTAATGTTTTTTCTAAATTATAAACAATTAATATTAATATGTTTTAAGATAGTAAAAGGCATGGACCTTCATTAGAATTATAGAACTTAGGACCATTACATAAATCTATAAGCAAAATAACAGATCCTGATATTCAAAGTTTTGAATGTTAGAAGAAGACTTACATCCATTCTCCAAGAGTATAACGATTTGACAAACTGGGAAATTTGATTCATAAAAATTAGAAAAAAAAATATCAAATAACATTTCGAGATGAAGTAACAGCTAAATCTAAATTGTATGATATTATTCTAGTGGATAATTGGAAAAAATATAATATTATAGATGAAGAAAAAGAGAAAGTAGGTTGCTGTCAATCCAAAAGTTGTTAATTATTTTGATATCACTCTATATTACAATCTCTATAAATAATAAATAAATCATATTACTATTTAAATTCTCCTTTCCTATTCAACACTTTTGAAGTTCAGTATTTATGGACAAACTCTACTCTTTATTATTATAAACTATACATTTGCCAAATCAAATAATAAATCAATACTTTAAATACATTAAATCCTTCTATTTCTAAAGCTTTTGAGGTCTTATCTAATTATTTTAGGTCCACTACCTCAAATAATCTTTTATTATTTCTAAAAAATATTTAATATACTTTGATTCTTTTCAAGATATCTTCAAATTTTTATTTTATATACAATTAATTAATTACTTATCTCATTTTTTATTTATCAATAGTAGATAATCAAGTTTATTATAAATAGGACATTCAAGAAATTAATAAAGAATAAGTAAATTTATTAAACTACTAATTTATATAACTATATAATAATTAGTATTCATTTGAACTATAATAAGCAATTTTTTTTAAGTAATAGTCAAACATATGTTATAAATAAGAGAATTATTTTTATAAAATATAAGATAAATAAACATTAAATTTAATTATATTCATAAACTTTGTACATTAGACTATTATTATTTCTACAATCATGATAACAATAAGAAGTACTACAATATTATACAGAATATTTTGCTGAATTTATAAAAATTTAGTTATTATATTGCGTTTTCTTGAAGTATTTTAGTATTAATATAATTCAACAATCATATTAATAAGTCTTCATTATCATTATCATATCATATCATTCTATAACCTAATAATTCTGATAATTATTTTTTTTAAATTATCAAAAAAAAAATGTGAGTGTATAAATATAATGATAATCCTATTAAATATAAGGAATTAGCTAAAAATTTAAAAGATAGTTAATGAAAGATTGAAATGCTTTGAATTTTTTTAAATATCTTTATTATAAGTAATTTATATAAAATTATTGATTCATACTTAATTTTATATCAGAATTATAGAGCCTAATATTGACAAACTAATTAGATTTATTAATTTACTATAAATCATATAATTATAATAAAAAAATGTCAGATTGCCATTATTATTAGAAATTTGGAATTAACCAATCTATTTTTAATAGTGAACCATTAAAATAGCTTACTCCAATTTTAAAAGATTCTCGTTCAGCTTCAGATGATATAATTATTCGCAAAGATAGTTATGGGAATGTAATTATGCGTGGAAATAAGTAGCACAAAATATAGTTCAGAGAATAAAATGAAGTATTTGTAGGTATTTAAATTTAATTTATAAAATAGTTGACAATTGGAAATAATACAATACAGACATGACTAATAAAGAATCTCCTTGTGTCTGTCAAATAATTTGACTTTTATATATAATTCATTTTTTGCAAACTTATGGTTATTTTTTATTCTTTTTATTTATTAGAAACTTTTTACTTTTTAAATAAAATTCAAACTAATAAATTTAGAATCAATTTAATCATATAATCTATTTTTTAATGGAATAAAATATGTGTGTTTTATATAAGGTATAGGATTTAATATAAGATTGTCATTTATAAATTACAATTATTTGAATTCAATATTATATATATTAAATCAAATTTCGAGAATATGTCTTAATAAAGACGACCAAGTAGTTAACAGAAAATGTAATAGAATATTGTAAAAAGTTATAAAATGTTAGACCTAATCAATTAATAATTTGAAGACTCAATTATAATAATAGAAATAACACAGATGGTCAGAATAAAAAATGAATAAAGAACTTTTCGATTTCTTATCATAAATAAATTTACAACAATATTATGGAAAGATAGCTTAACATTGTGATGGGAATTTATAATCATTGATTAATATGAAGTATATTATTGATTTTAATAATAAGATCAACGAAAGATATAAAGGATTTACCATTTGGATATCAAATTAAATTATAGGTATAAAGACTTGATTAAAATTGAGAAAGCGATTGAGAAGATGTCTAAAGAAACAGGAAATAAAATATCCAAAATAGAATAGAAATTATAAAATGATCAAAAAGAATGTTGTTGGATTTGCTTTTAATTGATATTTGAAAGTATAGATTGTTATGGAAAGAAAATGTGTTCTGAAAAATGTAAATAAGTATATTTGAAAGAGATCTAAGTAAACAAGGCTTAATTAACTTAAGATAAATTGTATGAGATGTGGAAAAGTTAAAAACAAATATGAAGCAATTAATTCATATGGAGAATGGTATTGTTAATAAGAATGTGTTTATACTGAGGAGGAATTAATGTTTTTGTTAATGAAATAAAGTTAACTGAAGAAATGAATTAGTATATAATTAATTATTATAATTTTTGATATGACAGATACAAAATTCAAAATTTATCCCTAAGATTTTGATAAGTCTAAATTGATTAAAGAGAAAAAAGATATAATTTAAAGATTTGAATTATTATGGATTAAGGAATCAGAAGAACCTCTTAAATATAAGAAAGGAATTAAAATTAAGAATTATATTGATTAAGGCAAATATGAAGGTGAATTAATTAATGATAAAAGATGTGGCAAAGGCATATATCATTATAGTAATGGTGATACTTATGTGGGAGAATGGAAGGAAGATAGGTAAAACAGAAAGCACAATGTAGGTTTCATGGAAAAGGAGTATATTTATTCGTAAATGGAGAGAGATATGAGGGAGATCTGAGAGACAGCATTAAATTTGGTAGAGGAATATATTTCTATGAAAATGGTAATATATATGAAGGAGAATGGGCAAATGATAAAAAAAATGGTAAAGGAATTTACACATACTTTCTAAACAATGAAAAGTATGAAGGATAATGGTTGAATGGAGAAAAACATGGCAAAGGATTGTACATATACACTAGTGGTGATTCATATTTTGGAGATTGGAGAGATGGAGTAAAATCAGGAAAGGGTATATTTGAATATTTAAATGGGTCAAGATTTGAAGGGGAATTTTTTGATGATAAAGCAAATGGTTTTGGAATAATTTAATATTAAAATGGTGATAAGTATGAAGGATAATGGTTGGAAGGATTAAAATAAGGTTAAGGAATTTATTGGTATTCTGATGGAGCTAAGTATTAAGGAGAATGGAGAAATGATAATCAATTTGGAAATGGAATCTTTTAATATAATAATGGGGATCGATATGAAGGATCTTTTATAGATGGAGAACGCTCTGGGAAAGGAGTTTATATTTATCATAATGGAAATATATATGAAGGAGATTATAAAAATGATTTGAGGAATGGAATAGGAAGGTTGCAGATGGTCAATAATGATTTTTATTTTGGAGAGTGGGCAAATGGAAAATAGAATGGTAAAGGAAAATATGAATATGCAAATGGTGATTATTATGAAGGTTTCTTCTAGGATGGAAAAAGATCAGGAAAAGGTGTTTATTGTTGGAGGAATGGAGATAAATAAATAGGATATTGGAAAAATGATATAATGTAAGGAAATGGAGAATTTATATCATAAAATTGAAATGTTATTAATAAATTATATTTTTTAATGAATGTATTATGAAATAACTTATATAATTAATGAAAATTTTAATAGTTAATGGATATGGAAAATGTGTAAAAGGATTCAGAAGTTCAGAACATTATAAATAAATAATAAAAGAAGTAATGCTATGAACCAATTTAACTATAGGTATTAACAGGCAAAAAAGAAATGATCGATACAGAATTAGAATTCTTCTTTGCTGATCGTGATTCAATTGATGACTTTCTTTATGAAATAGACAGTTCTTTTGTGAGAGTTGAATGTGGAAAGATGTTTGATTCAATCGATCTAATATTCTTTGAAGGAGATGCAAATCTTAGACCTTGGTCTCCTAATGCTTACAAGTACTTGATTTTATTAAGGATGTGTATGAGAAGTAATAAGATTCTATTTGCCTCATCATTTGCAATGTAAGGCTTAGTCTTTTTGATTGCATCTAATGTCGAATGTGTACAAACTTACTCTACTTTAGTAATTCTCAGTTATAAATGGACTTAATGGTGGATAATTGGGAGATCTCTCTAAAATAAAGAAATCTCTTAATGAAATAAGAATGAATGATTTCTTTCTTGATAATGTAACAGGTGATTTATACAGTTTTAATTATGATACTGGAGAATGGGTAAGCAAAGGAAATGCTGGATTACATAGTAGAAGAGCAGCTGAAGAATTTAAAACTATAGGCAAATATATTGTTAAGGCTCCATAATACAAAGTATCTAGAATGAAAGAAATTGATTAACTTTATGTTTCAAAAGAAAATGAGATAGTGTGTAATTTGAGAAAGAATTCTATGCATAACTATTTATTTAATGGTTTGCCTTTTGAATTTGTGGTTCCATTTAAGAATTCATGGGATGTTCATCCATTTAATTTTGTCAATCCAAAGAAGACGTTTTAAACAATGGCTGATTGTGAAAAAGGTACTCCATCTATCTTTACTGATAGGACCCCTTGTGATTTAAGTTACAGATAATATTGTAGCTACTTAATTCTCTATACGTTCTAAGTATAAGGAAACAGTTCAAATAATGCGTAATTTTATGGGATATTAATTAAGTATTATAATATTTTATATATAGCCAAATTATGTTCTGGTAGATCACAAACAATCCCTATTGAAATAGCATCTATAAAATAGAATGATAATGCAATGGATATTTATTTAGAACATTTAGGTCGTAGTAAATATCATAACTAAAAAACCATTAAATTTAATGTTATTACAGAATTTCATCATGCAGGATTTGCAGCTAAGAAATCTAATCAATTAGATGTTGTAGTCAATAATGCAATTGGAAAAAGAAAATTTAAATAAACAATTTAAAAATTAAATCCAAAAGATTTGGACAGATTATTAGATTAAGTATAAATCAAAATAATTATTTTTGTTAGAATTCATCTTTGCCATATTAACCTCTTTAAAATGATTAAGATCGTTAGCCTAGTATATATAGTTCTTAACCCCAATATAATATTGAGGAATAGCCTTTGGTATTCAATAAGACAGGTGCAGAGATTATTTAATTTCTCCATCCATCTATTGATAAATCTTTATTTCAAGAATCAAAACCACTTTGGGTTCCTGGTTATTTGTCTTAAAGTAGATTACAAAAGAGTTAATTGCAATAAAAATAGAATACCACAGGTGAAGAGGGTTTATCTACACCTTTCTTGACAGAATAAAAACAGATTACTACTCCGAGGATACCACGGACTACTTCATAACAACATTTTAGAGTGATTTAAAAAGATAAATGGATAACAAATAAGAATTTTAAAGTATGAATAATTATATCTATATATTATAAAATCAAACTTTAACTCTTATAATTATATGATTTTATTTATGAATATAAATTTTAAATTAATAAATAATATTAAAAAGTATTTAAATTTCTACATACTCTAATTATGTAGCATTTTTATATATAAATTAGATAACTTATTAATTTTTTCCCATAAAATTAATACATTTAATTAAATTCATAAAATTTACTAGAAAATTCTAGTAAAAATAAATGTTGATAAAAGTGGTAATAAATTTTAAATTAAGCTGATAAGTTGTATTTATTATCTCCTATAATAATAAATAGATTTACACATATAAATTAAAAGATTGAAAGAATAATAAATTTAATTTAAGGAGAGTAATGTTGATAATAACTATCTTAAATTAAATCAAATCAAATAATATATCAATTTGCTGTTTTTATAAAATTAATCAATTTATATACTTTAATTATAATATTATATGTATGATCTTTCTCTAAATTAACTTTTACATTATAAACATATATTTTATATATTTTTAGAATGATTATTTATAGATGGTAATATTTATAATTCTTTTTATTATTAATAATCTTCTTCAATAGATAAGATTATTGATTATAATTGTAATTGAAGCATTAATTAATTAATAATTCACAGTTTTAGCTACTTTAACAATTTATAATGATTAATTAATATATAACTAAATACGTAGATGAAGAAAGGAAAAAAAATAGAGGAGCCTTTTGATATAGCAATCCATTATAAAAAGTAAAATGAATACTTGAGATACAGTTTCTAAGAGAACTTGGATAATTATGGTATTTTGAAAAGTAAAGAAGGATTTTAGAAGCAATCATAAAGAGAACAAGAGTAAGAAAATATAGAGATAACTCCTAAAAAGTCTATGAGACCTATGAGTGCTTATACATCATTTAGTCAAGGATTTTCATCACGATAAAGACCAATAACAGCACCAGGATTGAATTTGTAAGTGAAACACATGATGAAGATAAATGAGAATGAAGAGATGATATCAGCGCCATATCATTCAGAAACTAAATATTGGAGGAATACAAAGAAATTTGATAAAAGTAACTTATTTTTTATAAGTTATTAATTAGCAAACTAAAATGTGATTCGTAATCATTCAGCTTTACAAAAGGTTTCTTTAGGGGGTGATAGTGAGATTTATAATATTGAAGAAGAAGAAACAAAGAATTAAAATATGATGGAGAAACAGATTATAAAGAATAGATTATTCTCTCCTATGTAGGGTTAACCTAAGCATTAAATAAATGATAGAGATATTTAATATTTAACAGAGGGATTTTATTAACATGTAGCATTAATTAAAGGGACATAACCTTAACAAAAGACATTCAAACATTCCAATTTATAAATATGCGATAATCTTGTTGACATAATGAAATTGATAAGTGGACAAACCTATACTAAAAGTCCTGTAGTTTATAAGACTAAACCTTAAGGATTAAGACCTTAAAGTGCAGTCAACAAATAAGGAAAAGTAAATTAACGTTATCGACCTGTAAGTGGAAAGGTGTAATCAATAGCAATCAGAGGATTCTAATTGTGATATTATAATTTAATTTTCTCAAAATATCCATTTATTATTATTATTTAATAAATATCCAAAAACAATGAGTGATATTATAAGAAGTTCTTAATACAGAGCAATCTAAGTAATTCTTGATTCCATTAAATATAGAATGTTACAACTAATCAATAAGCCAATAATCCTGTTCTTTAAGGATAAGTAGTAAAACAAGTAATCTTGGAAACACGTAAAGATGAATAGACTGAATAATACGAATTGAGAATTGAAAAACTTACTCAAGAAGTTGAGTAATGGAAAAGACAATGTTTTTTAGGTGAATAGTAACTTAATAAATTTACAACTCAATTATAAGAAGTAATTTATATATCATTTACAAATTAATAGATGGCCAGTCTTGAAGCTAGATTGGGTGCTTTGTAGTAGGAATATAAGAGTGTTGAAGTTAAATATAGAGAAAAGTGTAATGAGTTTGAGAAATTGAGGATTGAGTATAGTAAACTTGATTCAGCTCTCATTTCTTATTCATTAACTCATATTGAAACAAAAAGATTTGAAGAGGCTATTCAGAGTAAATAGAATATCATAACTGACTTACAAAGGCAACTCTAAGATGCAAATGAGAGATTATTGCAAATCCCTAAATTGGAAGATTTGTTGAGAAGTGAACATAGAAAAAACGAATAACTAGTTTAAGAGATTGATTAATGGAAATAAAAGTACTCAGCTATTCAATAAGATAAAGATAATTATGTTAAATAATTAAAATATGAAAGTGAAGATATTAATTAAAAAAACAAAGAATTTTTAGAAGCTGAAATTCATAAAGGAAATAATGATCTCTTAAATAAGGTTAAATTACTTTAAGCTTAAATTGAATAATTAAAGTAAGAGGCAAAAGAATTCTAAAATCTATTGTAATTAGAATAGTCTGAAAATAATAAATTAAAATCTCAGGTGGATTTATTAAATGCTCGTATTGTTGAATAAAATGAATAATTAGATATTGAGATTGGATTGGTTAAGGAGAGAGATTTTAAATTAAATGATGCTGAAGCAAAAATTAAATAATTAGAAGATGATTTATTAGAAATTAGAAGATTAGATCAAATTATTTAAGATTTGGAAACTAAAAATCAAAATCTTGTTAATGAGATAGATACATTACGTAATGAAGCTAATTAATATAAATTGGTTATTTAATAATTAGAACATGATCTTGGTAAGTTAATGGAATTAGAAAATAAAGTTGCTATGTTATCATCTGAAATTGAAAGATTGAAATAAATGATTGCTTCTAAGAATGAATAGATTGATAGATTAAAATAATAAATTGATTAATTAAATAAGGCAATAGATGATTATAAGACTATTGAAGCAGAAAAATAAGTACTTGAAAATAAATGTGCTATGTTAGCAACAGAAATTGAAAGAAAGAAATTTTAGATTGAATAAAGAGATGTTAAAATAAATGAATTAAATAAATAAATTAATGAATAATAATAATTCATTGATGAATTAAAGGAAAGACCAGATCTTTCTATACCTTTAGCTGAAGCTGAGAATTTAATTAAATTATGGTAAGAGAAGTATTAAAATTTAGAATAAATTTAAAATAAATATACAATTATTGAATAAGAAAATTATTAATTAAAAAATTAATTATAAGCATTATTGTAAGAGTTGGATTAAGTTAAAAAAGATTTAGAATAACGATCTAATTAATTAAATGAAGCAGAATCTACAATTCATTTAATGGAATAAGATCTTAATAAACTTAATTCACTTTAAGAATAGATTAAAGCTTGGGAATCTAAATATTAATTACAAACAGAGTAGTTTACTTAAATAAGAGAATAATTAATTTAAAGTTAAGAAACTATTAAGAAAAGTGATAGAGATGATATTTTGAATGAATTAAGAGAATTATAAGGAAGATATTAATCTTTAGAAACATAAAATTAAGATTTAATTGATTAACTTGAATAATTGAGATAATTGTATATTAAATGTTAAGCAGAATTAGAAGAAGCAATAAAATTAGAATCAAAAGTTTATGATTTAGAAAATAAGGTAGCTATGCTTTCAAGTGAAGTTGAAAGATTGAAATATAGAACAAATTCAAAAGATGAGGAATTAAAGAAATTATAAGCATAAAGTAAAGATTTTGATAGTTTGAAGAATGATTTCTAATAAATGAATGGAGATTTATAAAATACATAACATTCATTAGAAGAATTAACTTAATAATTAGAAGAATAATTAGATAAATTTAAATAATAAACAAAAGAATTAAATGAAGCATAATAAATGAGAGATCAATTAGAAAATAAGATTGCTATGTTATCTACTGAAATTGAAAGATATAAATATAAATTAAATAATAAATAAAATGAGACAGATTAATTAAAGAAATAAATCTTAGATTTATAATAATAAATAAGTCATTTAAGTTAAGTTGAGAATGATAATATAAAATTAAATTAAGAATGTGAAAAATTAGATTAAAAATATAATGATTAAGTTGAATTATTATAATAAACTAAAAATGAGAGAAATGATTTACAATAAATTAAAAGTTAATTAGAATAAGAATTATAATTAATATAATCAGAATTATAATCATCTTAATAAAATTAAGAAATTAAAAATAAATAAATTAAATAATTAGAAAATGTAATTTAAGATAAAGAATAAAATATTTCATAACTTAAAAATTAAGAATAAAAAATGTTTGAATATGAAACTAAATTAGCATTTTTAAGTTAAGAAATTGAAAGATAAACTAATTAATATAAAGTTAAATTAGGTGAATTAGCAGAATTATAATCATAATTGGTTAATATTAATGAATTATAAATTGTAATTTAAACTCTTGAAAATGAAAAAAATAAATTATCAGGAATAATTTAATAAAAGGAACATGAAACTCAATTATGGAAAAATAAAGTAGATGAATAATAAAAAGCTATGGAAAAATTTGAAGAGATGAAGGTAATTTTATAAACTTATTAATTATTAGTATTAAATGGAAAATAAAATTGCTATGTTATCAAGTGAAGTTGAAAGATTAAATTATAAATATAAGGTATTATTAGATGATAAATCTAAATGGAATAAGAGAATGAAGTTGCTTTTTGATGAATTAACTAAAGTTAGTATGTAGAATGAGATTTCATCAAATGTAAATAAATTGAATTTTAAAATTTTAGGAAGCCTTTAATTGGAAACATAAGATTTTAGAATTAGCTGAACTTCAATCTAAATTGACATAATAAGATGGTTCTATTTAATAATGTTTGTAAGAGACAGAACATATGAGATAGCAATTATAAGAATAAGATTTCTTGGATGCTAGATAAAAAATAAGATCATTATGATATATTACATAATAAAATTTAATATTCATTATTGCTATTGTTTTTATTACTATTTCAATTACTATTTTTTTTATTAATTTATTTTAGTTATTTGCTCTCTCTTTTCAATCTCCAACTAAACATTTATTATAGGTTCTGAGTTTTTTTATCTCATAATATTCACTTCATTCAAAATCAAAGCCTTCAAATCTTTTAATTATATAGTGCTATCATTTTCAAATTAACAATCTAAATTGCCTTCAAATGATGGTTCATCATCAGGATCTCTAATAGGCTCTAAGTAAGGATGATTAAGAGCCTATGATTTATTTTTATTGATATACTTCAGCACTTGTAATTCTCTTTTTAGGATTAATTTCAAGTAATTTATCTAATAAATCTATGGCTAAAGGATTAGAATATTTAATAACAGAACCAATAGATATTTTTTATTTTGTTTATAAACTACTTACATATTTTTTGGCATTAGCATTAGTAATAAATGATAAATCTTCTTCATCTGGTTTACCCAAAGTATCAAAGATCAATTTAATCATTTGAATATAATTTGTTCCTTTAAATAATATTTATCTAGTGATGATTTCAGCAAAGGTACAACCCAAAGACCACATATCAATGGCAGTAGAATATTCATGTGAAGATAACATAACTTCAGGAGCTCTATAATATCCTTGATTAATATATTAAATATCTATACTTGTAACAACATATTCTGTAAGCATATTCTAGCATCGATTATCTTCAGCTTCCAATTCTTCTATTTATCTGGCCAATCCAAAATCACAAAAACAGATTTCACAATTTTCTGTTGCCAATATATTACTTGGCTTGATATCTCTATGTACTATATTGGCTGAATGTAAATATTTTAATGCTTTAATTAATTGATACCTATATATTATGAATATACAAATTACATGATATATTGAAAGTGTTAATCAGTCAGATTCTAACCACTCTTAATTATTTTATATAAATCCACTTCCATATAATTAGTAACCAAATAAATTTCTCCAAAATCTAATTCTTTATTTGAATCATCATAAATTAGATGTTCTAAACGAAGAATATTCTCATGTTTCATTGTTCTTAATATTCTAATTTCTCTTAAAACTCTTTTAGCATCTATTTCATCTCTTACCAGATGAAGTTTCTTAATAGCCACTTTCTAGTAATCAGGATCTGTCTATTTCTTATCAATAGCTAATGCAACATGTCCATAAGCACCAGCTCCTAGTAATTTTTTAACATCATATCTAGGTCCTACATTAAATTGAATCCCAGAAACGATTTGATTCATAAGTATATAATTAATAAATCAATTTACTAGTTTTCTATTTGATATTAATATTCTTAACTTTTTAATTGTTCTATTTATCATACTTTTCCATTCTATTTATCTTAATATCAATTTCTCTCTAAACTAATGACTAATCGTAAATAAATTTAATAATCTAATTGTTCATTTTTATAATACATCAAAAGATCTAGTACTAAATAATTAAAAAAAAAGTTATCTAATATAAATAAAATTCATTCATTTTTAGATTTTTCTTAGTATAGTATCATCTACAGTAGTTTATATGGAACTTAATGAATTGACATATATATTACTAGCATTTCTTTATGGTCTCATTTTGAAGACAAGATCTTCAATTTTCTTTTTGTATAACAAACGTTCTTCATTGTTCAAGAAATTGCTCATAGATGCACTCTTCACTGATCTTGTCTATCCTTTCATACCATTATAATGTGTATCATTGACATTTTATAAAATTGGATTAAATTGCTTTGGTTAAAGAGTTCTCCCCTATTTAATTGGACTACTCTCTTCTAATGGAGTTTGATAAAGAGTTGAACGTAGAGATATTCTCTATGGATATAATTAAAATTTCTATTATCTAATAGGAGTTTTAATAATAATTGGAGATGCTTGCTATTTTATTTGTTATTCAACTTTATGTTAGGGTTCTAAAACAGTTTTTTTGGTTGGAGAATTTGGTTTACTACTTTCTTCTAATTTGGGCATGGAAGTGGTTCTGAATCTCATTCTAGTTTTAGGTGATTCTTAAACTATAACACTAACAGGTTTCTAAATTTATTATGATCCTTGCCGTTTTAAATTTAGAGGATTTTATATTAAATGTTCCAAGTAGTGCTCTTCACTTACTTCCCATCCTTGATCCATTATCTAAAATTTATAATATTAAAATATTGATAATTAAAAAACAAATTTATTGAATTGATATTGATAAATATATGTATATCTATTTAGTAATATAAATCAACATAATAAATAATTTAATTCAAATTTTATTTTCTTTTTTTTTATTAGAAATAGTAATACATTTTTAATTTTTACTTCTTTAAAAGAATTATTAAAGATTATATTTAATTAATAAAATAACTCAATTTTATAAGTATATATATATATATTTTCAATTTTTCATAATCTTCTTGTATTCAAACTTTTAATTCTGTATTCTGTTTTAATTCGCTATTAACTTCGAATTGTTGGATTTTATGGTTATTAGCTTCTATTTTCTTTTGTAATTTTTGTTGGCATTATAACCTGTTTGTGTTTTCTATGGTTTGTTCTAACTCTAAAATAATCCCAAAATCTCATATAATTCAAATCATCATTGATATTATATTTTTAAGTATAATCCTTAAGATTCTATAGAGGCAAGATCTTCTTATATTTCAAATAATGTAATTTCAACTTATTAATTAGTTTCTATGTTTCTAATGCCAACTATTCTTCTGAAATCTACTCCTTTTTATTTGGGTAAGTCTCGAATCGTATTTTATAGAGCATTTACAATTCATCTGTTGGTGATAAATAAGAAAACTCTCCTAAATGAACTCCTTTCAATAATATTTCATCATCATTCCAAATATTATGTTCTGATGCATCTGAACTTGAGTCTGATGATGAACTACTACTGTCTAATTTAATCTAAGGGACTGGTTTTTAAAATCTAGACTTCCTTGAAGAGACTTTTGAGGTTTGTGGAATCTTCAAGGTATCAGGAGTATTAGGTTCACTCACTTCTTTTAAAGGTTAAAGAGGCTGTTAAATATATATAGGTTATTTAAATTTAATATCTGATTTTGTTGAAGTGCTATCAGAATCAATAGATGAAGTTGATTGTTTACGACTATTTGATGTTCTAATAATAACAGTCCTATGTAGGTTTTTTATCATTTTATAATAAAAATTTAATATTAAAAAAAGTTAAATTTATTGTGGATGCTAATTTTGTTAATCATTAATAATATGCTCGATAATGTTTACATTTTATGTAATTTATAGATAAATATGTCATTTATCAAACTAATCCTCCTGAATTTAACTTGTTTCTAATGACAGTACTAAATTCAGCAGAATTAACAAACTCTTTGGCATTTCTTGTAGTCTAGAGTTAAATTTGATATTGAGCCTTCAATTCATTATATATTTGGATTTCTTAAGCTTAAGCATCCTTATCTTATTCTATAAATATATATATATTATTATTATTACATAAAGATTCCTAATAATTTTATAAATCTTATTCATTTTATTCCAAAGCTTCTTTAGTTGATTTCAATTTATCTAAATATTAATATATCACTCTTACTTTAATATGCTGCTAAAACATAAGTAGCTTCTAATACAGAACGTTTAAATTCTTAATATTCTGTATTCAATGTTTTTTATCTTGCTTCCCAAGTTTCTTAGATTTATTATTCATCAGTATTTTCCTATTAAATATATATATTATATACTTAATTAAGACTAGAAACTAATTGATTTCTTGTATCTTATAATAAATCTTTAATTTTCTTAGCTTATCCTTAATCTGAAAAATTCTATGTCAATTATAGCAATGCTTCAACAAGAGGATGAATTGTGCTGGTCTTTTGAATCTTGTTATTGACTCTTTTGACTGCTTAATGAATGGTGGCCTTCTCTGAAAAGGAAATGTTGCCATTTATTAAAGAATTGATCAATTATATAGCTTCATCAACTGCACTGATTGCTCCTTAATGTTCACTCACTAATAGTTGTTGTTTTGAATAATACCTCTATCTAAATATGCTTGATGTTGATTTTATCTAGCAAGTGTTTCCCTTGATAAAGAATCTCTGTTATCATTCATAAAACCATTCAATCTCTCAATCTTTGAATTAGTTTAATCAATGCTTGGTAATAGGATAGCATCAATAAAATCTTTTTAATTGAAAATATTGATTTCTGTTTAACCAATATTAATATCTAAATTTTCTTAAGTCACTTAATGTTAATTAGTTGATCTTGTGAAATCATCTTCTAATTGTTGTAATTCAGCAGTTAATTCATTTTCTAAGTCACCAATTGCTGTCACCAAATCATCTAAAATTTTATTACTTACTCATTCATACCAAGAGGTCCTCTCATTTCGGCATGTGTTTAAGCCATTTCTAATATAAATTTCCCCAAATTGCTTTGTGATAACTCATCCATTTTTTCTGTACTTAATTGCACCATACTTGGGTCAATTGAATAGACTATCGATAAAGACAAAATCAAAGCTAAGAGTTTTTGCATAGGCTATTTAATATAATAATGTAATCCGTTTTAATATTTGTATATAAAATATTTATATTATTTTTATGTATAATACTTATTTAATCAATTCTTAGTTAATCAATTGTCTAAACAAAATAGATTTGTCAATATTTCTACTTATTTTATACTATGATAATCAAATTATTAATTAAAATTATTAGTTCAACAATTCAATAATAGAGGAAAAGATAAAAATTGATATTGATTTATTTATTTAGTATATATTATTTTAATCCATTAGATTATTATTAATTACTCTAAAGAAATCTATCAATTTACTCTTACATATACTTTATTAATTGTAAATGGAAAAATATTAAAATAGATTTTTGGAAACATTAAATCTAATGGGTTAAAATACTTTACTATAAATTTAAATTTATTTAAAATATATTCTATCTCTTTGTTGAGTAACTTATTGTTTAAAATATTTAGAAAATTATTATTATTATTAACATATAGTAAATTATCCATTTTCATTATTAGAATATGAGAATATAAACATAGATTATGTTTTTTTTTAATAATTTTTCTAATTTTAAAGTGTATTTAATAATCATCATAGAAATAATTACACAAAAATAATTAAATTATTAAATGAGATAATTTTATTTCTATGTTTTTAATAATCTTAGACATAAATGAAAGTAGTTTCATCTATTTAAAATTTATTAAATTACATATTCTTCTATTATATTAATTATTCAATATCCAATTGTTACGATTAAGAAAATATATTCTTTTTTTTTGATTTGATCTGTTGTCCATAATTAGTTTTGTATACAATATTCTATTTGAAAATGGTAATATTATTAAAGAAAAGTTCTTCTTAGCAAGTCTATTTCTGTATTTTCATTTAACATAATTCTATTATAAATAATTTAAAACTCATCATTTGTATGAATATATCAGTAATGTATAATAACAATAATTGATTAAAATTATTTAAATATCAATATCTGGAGTATTATTGTCTTTATTTTGATTTTTCAATGACACTCAAAAGATGAGCAGCATGTCTTGAACTCTTTTTAGGTTTCTTAACCTTCATTAAAACTGCATCTAAATTGAATTAAGGAAAATAATTTTAAGTATTAAAGTATGAATCTATATTAAAATCTATTCTTTATCTAATATCATAATTTGTTTCTTCTAATTTACTATTACTAGATTGTTAAATAACAGAAATTGAATATTATTTTAAATCTGATCGTGATTATTTTTATTAAGATTATAACATTTATGGCATTTTTTAATCAAGATTTTAAAATGTAGAAGAATTACCTTTGATTATTTTTTTTGGAATATTAGCATGATGGATTTATACTTCTTGAGGTGGTTAAAATATTTATTATGGTTAACATGTAAATGAGCTTGAAGATTAGGAATTTTATTATGAAGCTTAACAATAATTAGATAAATCTTAAGACATTTATGAAACACTATTTGCACGATTTGTTTATATCTATTGTAATTAAATCATAGTTCTTCTATTGGCTCTAATACGTTGAAATTTAGAAGCTTATTTAATAGTTTCTTTATGATCTGAATCTTAAAGAAACTAAAATTTCTAATCAATATTAGAACACTTAGTTAAATTCTTAACACCTAAGTGTTCATCATTATCTGGTTCATAATTAATTGATTTTAGTGTATTGCTTTTCATACTTAACAATGTTTAGATCATATGATGATTATATTTTATATAACCTAATGAATCTAAATAATGATCAGTTAAGTCTTCTAGACATATGAAATTTTTATCAACAATTTATTAAAGAACTGTTTCTTGTATTTGTTATAAGTTAAATCTAATTTTCTCAGTAATTATCCTCTTATATTTACATCTTTGATTATCTTCACTAATAATGAACTATTTTCTTAATTTTCCAACATTAGCATTATAAAATACAAATGGACATTTCATAAATTAATGAGTCCATCTACAGATATAACAAACTTCTCCATAATTTTATTTCTCTTCATTAAATTACATCTCATCCTTAAGCATTTAATAATTTTCTTCTTCAATAGGATCTTCTTTTATTATCTTAAAAAAGTCATCATATTCAATATAAGCAATTTAACAAAACTTAGTTGTTCTTATAGAATAATCATATTTAGTCTACATAATAAATTCTTTTTCTCCAATAAATTTACCAGAATCAATAATTGCTAATTAAGTTTCTCTATTAGCTTTACCACAAATCAAATTAATTTAACCTTTTTATAAAAAAAAGAGTTTATTAGCCAATTCATTCTGTGCTTCAACAATTTCTTCAGGAGCAAATCTTATCTCTCTAACATAAGAACATAATTTTTTAACACTTTTCTCTGATAATGTTTTTTTAATAAGTCTTGAACTCATTAAAATATTAAGATATAAATCAATAGCAACTTATTCTTTTAATCTTTTATTTAATGCATTCATCATATTCTCTCCATATTCTGTATTCTCATCTTGCATTATCAAATAATATTCAAAATACTTTCTTACTGACAAAATTAATTACTTACTTAATTATCTTTTCTTTACATAATTGTTTAATTACATCATCTTTTATTTATAAATTTACTCCTTCTCTGTTAATTATCTTAATATATTACCAATACTAGATATTGTATATCCAAATAATCCACAAATCACCATTGCCATTAATATTACAAATATTCTCTCAAGATCAGTTTATGGAACTATGTCTCCATATCCTACTGTTAATGTTGTTATTGTACTAAAGTATAGTGAATGGATGTATCTAGAATCCCATTATGCATCAACTATACTCTTTGAATCCAACCAAGAATATTTTCCTGCATCTAATTGTATCTATCCTATTAAATTCCATAAACAAGCACAACAATGAGATACAAATAATAATAAAAAAACTGATTTAAATAATTCCATAACTGTTTACATTGTTATTGAAGGATTAATTGCTTCTTCTATTTAATCAATCAATTTCTTTACTTTTGTTATTCTCAACATTAAAATATATTCTGTATAAGGTATTTTAAAGGATGATAAAATAAATGGAATTGCAATTAATAAATCCCACCTTAATTCATATCTTGCATAATTTCTAAATATATCCTTATGGTTTTTGTGAATCTATCCTTTACTATAATAAGCAGTAAAGAATTTTATGATTATATCTATAATGAATGTCCAAGAAGGTAAGGATTCAAAAAATAATTAATACATTATTCCTTCATTTGTAAATCCAAATCCTAATTTCATAGGGATATAAAAAATATTCAAGATTATTTAGATCAATAGAAATATATCCCATATCACTTTAAAATTTGAATCAGGATCAATTATAGGAATATGACTTATTATTCCTTTAAAACATTAAATTAGAATTGAAATTTTATTCAGATTTTTTTGCAATAAAACATCTGAATCACTTGCACCATCTGAAATCAATTACAGAATGTTAACATTTAAAGATTTAAATTTTACTTAAGTTGAATGATTTTTCATTTATTTCACAAATTTAGTTAAGTAGAACATTATACTGAGTCCCTATATTACCCACTTCTTATTGCTTTTCTTTATAAATTAATCTTGGCTGCTCTCTAAATCTATAGGGATTTTAGTTTCTTTTTTTTGATTATTTATCTCAATGACACTTTACTCTAATTTTTAATCAGAACTAATATTAGGTTCAAAGGAAGCTTCTTCACTATTGTCTTCACATTTTGGCAAAGTAAAATCAGATCGATTATTAGCAGACTATCTTATTACAGGTCTAAATTCAAACTTAAATTTGATACACATATTAGAATCTATTAGAATAAGAATTCATCATGTCTGACATCCAATTTTTAAGATATTAAAATTATTATTGCTTAAACTTAAATTATTTATATCCAATTAATAATATTGTGACTAATTTACATTTACAAATATAATCATTTAGTATATATTATGAATTATTAGTTTTCATATCAAAATATTAATTATTGTCTTATCTGAATTTGTCCAAAAATTAAAGATTAATTTTTAAAACATTAATAATGGATTATTATAATTCAAATTAAATTATTATTATCTATCAAAAAATCAATATAACAACTCACTAAATTTATTTAAAGGATATTAAAAATCTTTTGAAATTATATATAATGATAACTTGGTTCAGTATTTATTCAAAAAGTTTTATTTTTTTCTTAGTCAAAGTAATTCTTTATAAATTATATTAATTGTATCTTATTCAAATTAATATTGATTTACTATTTCATCTTTTTAACATAAAATTATTCAATTCAAATTACTTCACAAACTCTCTCTCTCTCTTATTTTAGACAATAGTTAATTCAAATTAATATTTTTAAATCTAATTTATAAGTGGAACTGGCTAATCTAATTATTCCCATTTTTATAATCAACCAATTTTCGACTTTTATATAGAGAAATATTAAAAATATTCATAAAATAATATTAAATCTAAATATCAATATAGAGTTTTGAATTTAAAATTTCTTTATGAATTTTTACTTAATTTCTTATACTAAAACTAAGTTTTTAATTAATTTTTACATACAAAGTAATATATAAAAAAAATCATGATTAATAATTTTTAATAGACAAAATTAAAGCATCATGAGATTATAAGAAATAGTAAATTTTTTTAGTATCAATCTAAGCTAAATTAATTGTTTTATCAAGAAAAAAATAATAATACCTTAGTAAATAAATTTGATATGAAAAATTACTTTTTAGCATTATTATTGTAAGATTATCATCTATGCGATTAAAATTAATAAGATTGCTATAATTTAACACTTATATCAATAACAATTCTAATTCTAGCCAATCAAACAAATATACTAAATTATTTTTAACAATGAATACTATCATATAGAAATTAGACTGATGAATTATTTCTTAAAAATTTATTGAATAATTAATTATTTTAAAGTATAAATATGTAGTAAAAATTAAAACGATTAGAAAACTTAATATTTTTAAATATTTATAACTTTAAAAAAAATGATTTTGTATTTATGAAGATTGCCTTTATATAACAGTTTTTATATTTCTACTATCAATCCACTCAATTCATAGGTTTAAATAAATTTTCGTATCAATTTTTATAAAAAAAGGATTATAATAAGTAAAATTGAAATTATGTTACGAGATAGACAGATATAAATATTAATAAAATGGATTATAAAGTGTAATGAAGAATAAGGTGATTTATGTGGATTTACCAGATTAATTTAAATAACTTAATAATCAATTATTGAAAGAATTTTAAGGATATAATATATTTAAGAATAAAAATTTGTTCCAGAATATAAGGCTCATTTATAAGAGTTATGAATTTATATAATTTATTATTTATAATAATAAAATAATTTTTAATTATGATGAACTCAACAATATTAAACTAATATGATCATTCTATGATTATAGATATTGGAGCTGATCTGATATGGTATATTAAATTATATAATATGATGATTTTATTATTTTATTGCTGATGCAATAAATGATTACATATTATTGGAGCTGTCTGACAATATATTAAATAATCAAACCCATATTTTAATAAAATACTATTATAGTAAATTATATAACATAAAATGTGTTCCTCTTTATAATGAAGAATTTATCATAGTTTAATTAATATAGGATTTAAATTATATATAATGATGAAACGATGACGAGTATGAAGGAATCGATAGACATCCATCTATTATTCCTGCATAAATGATTATTTGAGGCATTTGTCTGAACAATATAAAAAAATATGAATTAATGAAGATATATATGCCGCCCCAGTCTTAATGACTCTGATGATACGGCTCATGACAGATTTATTATTATAATTATATTAAAGTGATGTAGAAATATTTGCTACTCTTGAGATAGCATGATGATACAACCACCAAGATCTCTGATTCAGAATAATATTAAATATATTTATATATAGATATGTGATGATTTTGTAGTCCATGATTTAATCATGATTTCAATCTTTCGCTCCTATCTGATATACATAATTACAATTATATATATATAATGATGACATTTAAGTACTAGAGTCTATGACTTCAATATGAACTACAACCCTTGGCTGTCTGATATTAAATAGCCTTATATATATATATAAATATATATTTATATGATGATAACTGACACCTCTTGATTGAGCCAATTGGCATTGATCGGAATTCAGTATCTGAACTCTTTTTGTAATAGTTTTTATTTTTTAAATTGGCAGACATCTTTGAAATCAAATGATGGAGATACTTATATTAATGTTAATTGATTCAAAAAAAATAGATAAATAAGATAGTTGCTATATTATATGTTTGAATGATTTGATATTTATTATTAATTTTTACAAATCTTTTGTTTAGAAATAAGGTGGAATTTAGAAGGCAAGTATAAAAGGATAATTTAGATTTCCGTTAATATAAAAAGCAAGCTGAAACAAAAACGATATAGATGAATTAAAATAATTTGATTAAAGTATTGAATCAAAATATAGACATTTGATCAGACAATTAAGAGTAATGATGTTCAGAATGTGGAACAACAGGTTTTTGCTGATTCCTCTGTTAACTAATTATATCTTTTCCAATTTTCAACAATATGTATATCTGCAATTGACTTTCCTTTTTGACATTCATCTCTAAATACTACTCTATGTACTTTCCTTTTCTTCAATATTGGAATATAAAATTTGTCTAATCTAATTTATACTTTATTTGCTGCAGTTGGTTCTGTATTGTAAGTATCATCTTGATTATTTAGTTTAGATTACATTAAAAAATAAAATAAAATATGTATATTATAAACAATGTTCAAGAATAAATAATCAATTATTATAAGAAGTGGCAGAATATAGTTACTTAGAAACACTCTTTGAAAAAGTTATGTATAAAGGCTAAAGAGGAAATTACTTAAATTGCAAAACAAATAATATTAACAATGTTAATAGCATAAATTTAAATAGAAACAAATCAAAATTGTCCAATTTGTTTAAATGAAGACCTTATTTTTAAAGGAGTTTAATCAGAATAATGTAAACATTCATTTTGTATTGCTTGTATAAATGGCTATTGGAAACATAATTAAAAGAAATAGTTAAAATGTCCATGTTGCAGAGCCAAAATTAGTACTTTTGCTAAATCTAAAAAATTATAAGATGAATTTTAGTAAGAATGTAATTAATTTATATTGGAATACAGAGTTCGTTGCACAGTCTTAAAATATAATATTATTTATGTAAACTTTATTAAAAATATTTTAGCCATTTTAGATAATAGCAAACATTTATAAACATTTAGGTTAACTTTTTAATCTATGTAAAATTTTACTAAAATTGTCTATCTAATTGTAACTTGTTTTATGTTTTATATTGTGTATTTATGTGTTATCACCAATTGATTTATTTCCAGAAGCCATATTTGGAGTTTTAGGATTGGTAGATGATCTATTGTGCATAATATTTATAGTTTGGATACTAATTACTCAAATTATGATTAGAATCTTTTTTTGATTCCAATAAATATTATATGAAATTTAGTGCTTTCAAATATTTAATTCATTAATATAAATATTATATACATTCAAATTAGATATTATTAATTATATTTTACATTTTTTACAATTATTTCTTAATTTACAATTTATAATCTTAGTTAAACAAGATCCTATATATTTATATTTGTTAATTTAATAATGTTTTATGGTTTATTAAATAATGAGAGACAATTAATAACAATTTGATTATTAATATAATATTAATTATTTAGTGAATAAAAATAATTTGTAAACTTTTTATAAAATATTTTAAATATATTTAAGATTTATAATTTATTATATTATATATTAAAATTCAATTAGATTGTGTTTTAATGATTAAATGAAGTAAAATATATATTAAATTAAATACTATTTTTAATTATTTTTTAAATAGAAGGTAATAAAATTTGAAAATATAATTGTTAAATTGTGTATTTAATTATTTATATTATATATTTTTAGTGTCTTAAAATGAATTCGATTTATAAATAAATGAATTTTTAATATTTATAGTTAATTTTTACTGTTAATTAATTATGAATTACCTTAACATTATTGAGTAATCACAAATAGACAAATTGAAAGCTTAACTTGAGAAAAAAGAATGTAATTTATATATATTTATAAATAGAAACAATATCAACTTTATAAACTATTATTGAATCTCAAAAAGAACAAATTAATTAGTATTAACATGAAAAATAAAAATTAGTTAAAAATATACAATAACAAGTATAATAAAAGTTTTAGGATGATTTAAATTTTGAGAATATTATAAGAAAACTTAAATAGGATTTAGAATAGAAATCTATTTAATTCGAATAAATGACTATGAGATTAAATTAAAATGATCCTGGTTTTTTATTAATGAAATTGAAAAATGAAGCTGAAGAACCTCATAGAATTGAAATTCTATAAAAAGAGCAAATAATTGATGAATTAAAACGACATATTTTATAATTGAAAAATTAATTGTAATTACAAGTAGAAAGAAATAATGCAATTTAAATTGCAAATTAAAATGAATTAGCATAATTAAAAGAGAAATATGAATCTAATTTAGGAGTTGATAAATTATCATTAAAATAAGTAAAAGAACTTAATTAATTAAATGAAAGAGATTAATAATAAATATAAGAATTATTGAAAGATAAAGAATAATAATAAAATCAAATAACATAAAAAGACAATATTATAAAAGAATTAAGATTTTAGAATGAATAATTACATAAAAGTAA